CCTCATTCAGAATTTTCCCCTCGGGAATTTTTAATCCCCCGGAACGCATGAAATACCCTCACAGAGAATATAACTGGAAGATATTTCATATATCACACTAGACCACATGAATATCACCCTCAAAGAGAATATTCCCCCGGACGATATTTCTTATATCACCCTGGACCACCAAGACTGTCTCCTTTCAGCTTCCTCATTTTGTACAGGTACAGAAAATGTTTGGCATATTTAGGGAGCCACTGATGGTCCGTGATTCTATCTAGCTCCTCACTACAAGACCTCCTGACGATATTACCGTTAAACAGCATCAGTTTGACGGCTTTACAAATTGCGGTCGATGGACTGGTTTAATATTTTGGTAAGGTAAAAGGCTTACTTTTAACGTGAACCTCAATTTTATAAATACACTTTGCCTTTATATATCACTTTTATGACATGACATAATAAATATTTCATTAATTCCTATCTCTTTTAAAAACAAAATAAATCTCTCATATCGTAACGATAATATTTTATTGTAATATTTTGAGTGCATTAATGCGAATTATCTATTTCATCATCACGTGTTTTTTCCCTGTCACTATACTCAAGGGACGACTCTTCACGTGACGGTTTATCAATATTGGAATTATAAGCTTTAATCAACAAATTGCATTTTGTTATACATAATTTTAGTGCAGAATCCTCCGACAAACTATCGCGCCGTAAATATTTGTCTATCCGAAATTTGAGGGTCCATCTGCCTTTTCAGACACTGAAGGTACGGCCAGACTGGCACCAAACCACTAAATCTTAGAAGTGAGCACATGCCATATTCAAATGGATTTTATTTTAGTTAGTGCGGTGTCTTTTTTTTATTCACTTAGCATAATGAAATACGTTCTATGAAATAAAGTAATTTTGTACTGGAATAAATCAATGATTTGTTATTCCCTTGTCTTTTATGAATATTAACATATTAATAATAACCGGTTGAACATGAATTAATATATTAAAGATGACATGACGGCATTCTATTCATTGTCATATCCTAGTAAGAATAGCATCGACATACAGTTATGGGATCCCCCTGTCCAAAGCAGGGGACAATGTCATTTACATATACAGATGAAACACATTTAATCCTATTTATGCGTGACATGATGTCTGTCAATTATTTATAAGAGACACAAATAAATGTGCATCTCATTAATCTAAGGGAAACAATCGTGTCATAAATCAAAAGGAAATAATCAGCTAAACAAGGGATACAACCTCCTTATTCATCAAGATAGACAACTGCACCTATCATTTTTTTACTCACTTGAATAATATTCGTTATCTTCTTCGTTGCAAGTTGGTTCCGTGTCTGGTGGTATACACAGGGCACCGTAGTCAGTGAGTTTTAAGACCCATCTACTGTCTATTACACAGTTACTGGACTTGAGATTGCCATGTGATCTTACTGGACTTTTGTGTAGAAAATCTAGACCCTTTAAAACAGAAAATAAACGTCTTGTTAAAGAATTATAAGTGAATATGTATGTACATAATATATTGTACAAACTTACGAAGTGTCGTTTAAACATCTTTGAAATACATTTTCAAATCAATTTTAAAGTAACGAAGGTACTAAAGTGTTCTAGGACAAAACTTTTTATTCATCATTTAATCATTCATCATTCTGTTTTGCAAAAAACATTTCATAAGAATACCACAATAATATATTTCTATTGTTTTCATCAATATTTGAAAAGAAATATTATGAAAAAATGTACAAATTGAAGAGCAATCCACTTTAACTAAGAACGAAATTATGAAAAAACACTAACAAACAAAAAAAGAAATAATCAGATATATAAGCATACCCTTCCCAAATCCATCAGAAATGACATCTTAAACATGTTGTCCAGTTTGATGTCATCATTTTCTAAAACATCCTGAAAAACAACATGTAAAACAACATTTAACCTGACTCCTTTATTGCTGTTGCTGTTGTTATTTTTACACACAAAAACATCAACAACAATAAAGGGAAAGAGTTTAATTTCTCACAATATGTGAAAGGAAATGTCTGATTGTATTGTGGATGATTCTGAAGTGTAAGGTCTTTTAAAAAAATACAAAACAAAATTTGAGTATCCTTCAGCATGTAAATGTTTCAATGCCGTTAAAAGTAAGTATGCTGTAAAATTTCTTAAAAATCATATTTTGATATCTATATATACAAAGTGCGAAACATGACTGAATGTGAATAAAATAATATGATGTTATATCTGTTTAAATACTTCAAAAACGACTTTCAATCTAACTGGAAATTCATTGCTAGCTGGAATATGAATTCCAATCTCTTTGAGCTGGCTCGAAATTCAAAACTAGCGGGTATTCAGTCATGGTGCTGGCTCGAAATTTAACGCTGGTTTGAAAAACCAATTTCGGTCCAAAGCTAGCTTGAAATTCATAGACAGCTAAAAATAAAAGGTCGATCCTAATAATAATAAAAACAAAAAATAACAACATGAAATTACCTGTAAACTTCCTTTTGAACAATACTTCATAAGAATATAACTGTTACCCGGCTCTAAGCTCACGCCAATAAACGGGTTCAAGTTTTCATGTTGCAGCTCCCGCAACTATATAAAACAAAAAATAAGCGATTATGATATGGTACGATGTTTTTTAAGTAAGTTATCAATTAAAAAAATGATTGAACCTTCTAGTGTTATTTGTATTTTCCATATATTTGATTCAGGCCAGACAGGAGTTTATGTATAGACCGATTTCATGTAAAACATCTGAAAATGTCTTTTCGTAAGTATCCGGAGTTGGGGTCAAACAGAATATAAAAGTCAAGTAAAAAGGGATGTTTTATAAAATCTTGATAAACTTTAATTAAAATAGATTTAAAAATTAAAACTGCATACCTCCAAATGAGCCAAAATTAATGGCTTAATGGTGAAGTTAAAGGAAATTTTTTTTTCGTGAAAAGTTAATTTTGCAAGACTTTTTTGTTACTTCCGGTCATATCAATTGTTCATTGGTTACAAGTCACGGAAAGTAACGGAAAGAGCCGAATTTATACGAACGTACGTAGAATATTTACCATCAGTACGGAAATCATACTTACAGATTTCAGATCTCTCAACATTTCTCTGTTAAGTTGTATAGAACGACGTTGGATATTTTTCACAGCAACTATTGAGCCCTAAAGTTTAGAAAAAAGAAAAAAAATCTGTATAGTGATTTGGGCATTTAAAGTACATGTACATTAAATTTGTTAATGAAAGTGACAGACTTCGATTTTCGTTAATGCGCATGCGCTTTAATAGAACTTATGTATGGTATTTTCTACATATTGAGTAGTGTGCCTCTTATTGGTCAATAAAATCACGTGTACGGCGCAAACTCAGAAAGCGTTACCGATAACTTTGCCTTGAGAGTGCAAAACAGAATTTTCACAAAAATATAGGAAATCAAAGTTTAAGGGCCATCACCACTACTGTTCTTGTCTCTTACCGTTTTTTTTATCTGGCATCTCATTTTTAAACATGTTAATGTGGTGAATTAGAGCAAGAAAGATAAAAAAGAAAAGTCTCCACAAACTTACTTTATAATTTCCAACCGGTGCAAATAAAATTGTTTTGTCTATACTGCTGGTCGAACCAAGACCTAATGTCCCTCGGGTGTCCTACAATAGTTAATATCAATGATAAAATTTGCAATTTGGTGATTCATTAAAGTAACGAAATTTATAGTTGTGAATAAAAGCACCGTATGGGAGGTAGAATATAATAAGTTTTATTTATTTATGAATTTAAGAGTGTTTAGAGAAATATTAGTATGTCTATAGTACATTTAAATCAAGTATATATTGTGTTTTAAGCATTTGATTCGTATTATTGGTTAAATGTTTTTGTAATAAATTGTGCTGCTTTGGTAATGACCTAAAATTCATGATATTTTGTTGGTGATTTTTTTGTGTGCAACTTATAAAACAGTTCCAAGAGATTTTAGCATTTTAAGGTCCTTGTACGGTATTTAGTTAAGTTCTCCAACACCGGAATGCACAACCGAATATATTTTTGTATCCTTTGTCTTTCATTTTTAAATAGGTATACTAAACAGCTTTTAGTTTCTTCATTAATACAATGTCATTTTGATTATGCGTGTGCCTCCTGGTATTTAGGGTTGAGTCAAAATCTAAAAAATAGACTTCAGGCCACACAGAATAAGTTGGTGAGATTTATACTTAATCTCAGTCCCCGTACTCATATAGGGAGGGCTCATTTTGAGGAAGTTGGTTGGTTACCAGTACATCTGAGGGTAAATTTCCTTATTCTTGGTCATGTACATAAGATACATAACAATAGTGCACCTAGTTATTTAAATGAGCATTTTCAAATTGCAATTGAGGTACACTCTTACTCCACTCGATTTAGAGATAGTAACAGTTATTCTATTCCCAGAGTTAAGGGGTTCGGTAAGAAAACATTTGTATTTATTGGTTGTCAGGAATGGAACAGGTTACCAACACATCTTAGGTTCATAGCAAGTCGTGATAATTTTAAAAAATCTCTTAAGGAACACTTTATACAATCAATATCTGTTTAGTCATTTTAATCTAGTCATCTTACCTAGTTTTTATTTATATATTTTTTATGTTTAGTGCATATTTTAGTAGTACCTATTCATTGTCAAACATATCTGTCATAATAATTATGATCATAATACATGTGTGATAAATTTTGTGATGGAAATACTTATGTGCAATAATTGATATAAGAAATTGTGATTGAATAATTTATGTGCAATACTTAATAATTAGTAAATATTTTGCCTTTCTGGTGTCATATGATCAATTCTAAGGACCACAATGGAAATAAGTCGGCTTATGCCTTCTTTTTGTGTCATCCTTGGTATTGAATATATGGCATCAACACATGCACTTTCATGTTTACATGTATCTCTTGATGTTGACATTGAATTTGTAGTTGTTTTATGACATGTATTTTTTACCAGAATAAAACTATCTATCTATTTTGACATACATGTACAATGTTTAATCTTGCGAATTATTCAAAACTGCTATATGTGGTAACTTTTACAATAATTTGCATGCATATTCTTTACACTTATAGAAAAAAAACACGACGTATAAAGGTAATTCATGTCCATCTTGACTTACATGAGATCTGTTGAAACGAATATATAGAACTAGTTAGAGTCATATCTACGTCCTCGCGAGGGGTTTGACATTAATAGAAAATAGATAAATTTTCCGTAAGCTGAATAGTTAAACAAAAGGTCAAAGCATTCATCATGAAGGTGCAAAAAATGAATATATCTAATAAAATAAATAAACATTTTCTATATAGATGAAACTAACCATTCGTGTTAGCGTCTTTTTATGGTGTGTAGAGTTATTTTTATCTTGTAGAGAATTTTGTGTTGGGGCACGAGGTCGTCTCAGCTTGATTTCATTATTGTTCACTTTCCAGATCATATTCAATAAGTCCTTCTCAAATTTAGATTTCCTGAAAGTCATTTTTAAATAATTTAATATCTTAAGAATTGAAAATATTAACTTAAAAAATCAATGAAAAGTTATGCATTCTCTGTTATATGTATTATAGTGGTCGCTAAAGACAAAAGTCGCTTAATACACATGGTCGCATGGACAAGTTTGACTGTATATGCAAACGTCTTAACAAAGTAACTGTAGAAATATGCCATCATACACGGTGACGCTTTACCCGCAAAAACGTGAATCCATACAAATTTTAGATCCCCTTTAAGCTGTTTTTATTTGTACAAACGCTAATCAATACACACAAACGCTTATCCACACAAATGCTTACCCCATACAAATGACATACACGCAGAAGCGTTGAATCTTTTCCAAACAAAAACATTTACCCCGCTCAAACGCTATTTTTACGTACATATACAAACACAAAACGTGAAATCCACAGAAACTGTTCATGTACATTATATATATCTACATGAAAAACACCGAAACGCTTAAAACCTAAAACCACGCAAGCACAAAGGCTTACCCACGTATTTTGCAATGACAAAAAACGCACAAACGTTACCTTACCTGTAACATGCGTACAAAGCCCCTCCAATTATCAAAATAACGGCCAGTGACACGCAGCTTCCAATTATCACAGAGTTCTTGTTACTGACAGAATCTGTAACCAAATGAAGAAACAAAATTGTATTTAAAAGAGATGACATTAGTTACCTCCCCTTAAGTTTCAAAATACTTGTAATCCTTTCGAGATTCCATTCATTCCAGATACGAATATGTTACTTTAAGGGAAAGAATGAATTCTCAAACTACTTAGTCTGATATCTAAATGCATTTATTTAAAACGTTCTTCTCCACCATGATCTTTAAAATAAAACATGGGAATAAAGGGAGACAACTCAAAATTTAAAGCAGAATTAGCCCATTTTAGAAAATCAAAGATATCTTTTAGCATATGAAAGAAAGTACAGTTTTAATACCGTCAGTTGAGCACTGATCTCCCGTCCAACCACAATCTGGAGAGTCCGCCGGCAGCGTTCCTCCTGGCCATTTAATGGGTTTATTTAATAGAAATATATCTGTTACTGTTGCAACGGTTTCAAAATCGCCATTTTGAAAATACACCAGGGTTGCTTTTCTAATTATCTTTCCTGATGAATCAAACGCCTTTGTCCCGGAAAATGCTAAAAATAAAATCAATGCATTATTAAGAAAACAATGGGAAGGACTTAATCTGAGATGGGCTTAATCTAATGTCGCACAAGTCATTTGCTTGTTGTTATATACATGTACTCATCATTTGTTTAATATTGAACATGTATTTGATGCAATAAAATATGTTTGAATTAAGAAAACAATTTAAACTAAGAAAACAATTCAGGAAAGAAATGTAAAAACTCTTCTCGTGTTCTTTAGGATTTTTTAACATTAGATTTTCTTACGCCCTTTTTAACAGAATAAAGCCTAAAAGCATCAACTTATACAGATACATTGTGTATAGTATTTTACCTAAAACTGTTATATTTTATTCAGTATTTATGTTTCTTTAACAGTAGTTATATTATAAACCGTTAAATATGTCTACATGTATTGGAATGGTGTTTGCTAATTTATACATATTTATTTTAGTTCTATTGTGTAGGAGGGTAAAAACTTATAGACACACTTTCGGATCCGTTCCCGTAACCAACCAGTACTAAGTAATGAGTGTATCAATGAAACAATTTAATAGCTTGTCCCTGGCGGGATTTGAACCCACGAAGCTAGAGATCCTTAGATGATAAGTCCAGAGGCATTGTCCTCTCGGCCTTGCCACCAACTATATGGTGTTTGTTTTTTCAAATGTTCTGCCACATGTGATGAAAAATAAGATAATAGTTACTTACTCTGAATTGTTCTCGCCATGTTTGAATAGTTAAATGTTCCATTTTGAGGGTTGTTAAAGTACATGTCAGCAGAAAATAGTAGTGTGTCATACAGGGACATTGAAAACTCGTCAGTCTGAAAAAGGGAGACATTCATGCCATCTAAGAGGTGTGATAGATGAAAGAAAATCTATCAATAAATCAGATTTCAAATGCAATAAACTGATCTATGGACTCAAGTTGGATGTTAAAAAATGTATAACGTGCGAATGTATGGCTCTGATCTAGTAAATATCTGTTTTGAAACACACGTAGCGTTAACTGTATTATCAGAATTTAGTTTTTCTGCAATACAGAACATCGAACAACGTAAGTTTTATGATCTAAATAAATTCTACTTGATTGAAAAACAAAATCAACATAAAAAGCATCATTTATTGATTGTCACAAATTGTTTGTTATTGTGTAATTCTAGATATATATCAAATTTCCGAACTCTTCCGACTTATGCCGGGGCACACTAGAAATTATGACGTCATAACATGTTTGACGTCTTTTATTGGTTATAGATGTAGGCAATAACGTCGCAAATGTTTGTGTACCCGACCTACCTCATTACAGTACATTGGCAATTTGTTGAAACCCATTTGTGTTGCCATACTTGTGCAGTTGTCGAACCACTTTTGTGCTGCCGTACTTGTGAAGTTGCTGACCTGTGCCAGGTTATTCGACATAAATCCAATTTGTAGAAGAGATTTGAAGATTTTGTTGTCAGTACCTGTAGAATAACAGTACTAGTTATGATTAAAACTAATATCTTCGTTCACTTTTTTCCGATTTATAATATAGCGTGTAGGTACAGTTACTCCCCTTGTAAATTAATTACGCCATTTGTAATGCGCACAAATAATTGTGTAACATTATATCAAGATCTATCTACATTTCCATGGGAAGCGGTGTTATTTGAAATGAGAGTAACGTTACTAAGGAAAAAGTCGATAGAAAGATTACAGTTACAAATATATAATGCTTTGTTTTCTTTCAATATTAAGGCTTAAAAGCTGTACCTGGCTGAAGAAGTCCGGTCTCTGGGGACGGCCCGAATCTACAATATATGAACACGAACTCTTTTGAGGTAAATCCCAGTGCGTCCGCTTCAACGAGAAACTGTCGCACGTACTCTGGCTTCATACAAAGCAGAATGACTGAAATATAGCAGTTATTTATGTACTCGTATATATAGATATGGTATTATTATGTAAAGTCAATGGACAAAGTGGGCAAAGGAGACCAAAGTTTTAATATATAGTTATATCAGTTTCTCTACTTGTAAAAGAGTTGGTAAGTGAACAGCATGGATCCTGATCAGACTGTGCGGATGCGCAGGCTAGTTTGGATCAGTGCTGGTCGCAAACGCACTATGTTGATTTTGTCGTGACGCGGCTCATATTCTCTTGTTTTTTAAGTAGTTGCTGCGTTGCACTTTCTGTTGCAATTTCTATCTTTTCTCATGAACAGCCATAATATAACAGAGTCTGTAATTTAATACTGATTGCTTTTGTTTTCATTAATTTCTCTCGGGGAATCACTCCATTTCAGAATTTAATGTCTTTTCAGCAAATTCTTAAAATACTAAATTATGTATACAATGATATTTACTTGTTTTTAATAAATCTGGCCCTGAGGATTTGCTCAAGACTGGCGTTTGGATTGGCATTGCTCCATTTTTGAAAAAAAAAGAATCTCTGTTTTTATTTCCGAATTGTTTCCTTGTTCCGTAATAACTTTAAAAAAATTAAAATCCACTATTTACTTAAAATTCAAAGAGCTGTGTACGCTTCAGTTAAATGTCATGTATGTTAATATAAATGCATGGTCATACGAGGTCACTGACCCTAACGTTTGCCATGAACATAGTTGATTAAATTGTCTCTCCCTTGATACAGGTGCTTCATTTTACAAAGTTATTTTCTGTCTCGTCAAATTGCAGAAAGAGTACTGTTTCATTAATCTGAATGATCAATATATAATACAAGTAAAACAAAAGAAACTTTCTAATCTTGACCCTTTTCGGACTTTGTGAAACCTTTGTGAAAAATTGTAGAGGATTCCGGAGTTTTCTTCTTACATACCAAGTCTATTTACAGGAATATGGTTGAGCTTAATTTTGCTCATATTATTTTAATAAGCAGTCTATTTATGCATAATTGTTAAACAAAGTTCATCAATGGATGACAAAACTATTCACAAAAGAAAACAATCTATTCATAATCGTCAAGTCTAACATATAAGTTTGACCGTGACCTTTGAACTGGTATCTTGACCCCTTTGTTCGACACATCATCATCATCATCACCATCATAATGTCTTACACATTTAAGCCAGATTATTTTGAAATTCTTAAATGAAATAAAAATCCAAGTGTAACATTCACTTTTGAGGTAGGGATCTGATTCATGCCTGCCTGCCATGCTTGGCACGTTGTCATTATGTCAAACACATTAATGCACAATAATTTTCACGTCCATATTGGGATGACATAATTGTTGACCGGACACAAACATCAGTTTACTTTTATAAAAACTCATATCATGACTTTTGATCTACTGTTGTGACCTTGACCTGTGAGGTAGGCACCCAATTCTTGCGCTCTGCATGTCGTTATTAGGTCCAAAACATTCATGTATAATATGCTTGTTATTCTTAAATCCATCCATAAAAGACAGAACTTTTTTTTAAACATTTCCTCTGAAGTCAGAGTATGACCTTGACCTTTAAGCGTTAGACCTACTTATCTATACAAAATTATTTTATGATCCATCCATAAATGACAAAGGTATGGACTAGACAAAGTTCGAACGGATTGGCAGAGGACGGACGTTACTATAAGCCTCCCCAAATATAGGGGGCATAAAAATTATGATAAATATATTTGTGAAGTTAACAATTTAAGGTAAATCATGCTAATGATGTATGTATATGGACATTCCATTTCATATGCCTATGAACATTAAAACAAACCCCTAAATTGTATGCGAGACAAAAAATTTAATAATCAAAGAGTAAATTTTCACAGAAAGATCATCCGTGTTATAGTTATGTTTAGTTCAAATAAGCATACAATTTCGATTGATTTGGTTTTAATGTTGTTGTTTTTTTTGGTTACATTTTTTGAAACACCCTTGCCTCCATGTTGTGTCGTCTATATGACTGTGTTACCATGCAGGGATAACCAAGTCAACGTTCTGACAGACACAAATACACAAACTGACTGACTTTTATCACTAGATATTTCTATAACTTTGATGTTTAATCTACGATTATCGCGGTAAGTTTATGAGTCCATGTTTTCTACAGGACAACACCGCTCAGGTTAATATATGTACTTTGATTCTAGATACAAAAGATCAAGGAATACAACCAACTTACAGAACTATTAATCATATACTGCTTAGCATTATAACATAATAATATTTGATCTGTTTGTATGTAAATCAATTAATAAATATAGATGTCTATTTTAAAACCACATGCAAAAAGACAGAAAGAATACTGTATCATTGTACTTCAGAGGGTGCTTTAAGCCCCCAGTTACACTAATAGCGAGTGAACATATTTTAGCGTTAAGCCGGCATTTTCGAGGGTTGTCCATGAGGTACTCGTATTTATAATATGAATAGTTTATTAAAGGATATAAATAAATTTTTGCTTTTTAGAATGGACAAACTGGCTTTGATAACGTTTATATTATTGTTTTAGAGCACTTCAGATGCTTATTATCTGAAGTAAGTAGCGATGAATGTGAAATTATTGGTCTTAAAAGTAACAAAATGCAAACAAATAGTATTTTGACTTCCATACAAAATACTAAATCACTATAATGGTAGTAACTGTGAGAAAACAATAGAAGCAGAAGATGATTGTTCAGATAACTGGCCAATGAGTTTTTTTTTTTTGGAAAATATAACTTGATATTAAAACAATAAAACGCTTAGAAATAAAAACAATTGTGTTTTCTGAGTAATAATGGGGCTTTAATAACATATAACTAGCGTATATAGTTTGATTCTCAGTCCAAGACATGTGTGCATGTTGTTTCAATGGCATTTCACTTAATATTCACTTCTGTGATAGAGATGTAAACATGTTGTTGTTGTTGGTGGTGGTGGTGTTTTTTTGTTGTTTTTTAGATGCAATCTATGTACTCGTATTGTTATTATATTATTAGTTTTTTTTTTAAATTTGTATGAAAATATGGAAGAAGAACTAAATATTTGATTAAATCAAATCTAAATCACGGTAGATTAAATGACCTTTGACGGAAACTAGAGGTAAGGTACAATGTCTAAGTATGTTGCAAGAATCATGTTGATTTTGTCGTCATTTATTCATAAAACGTCACGGGATAATTTACTTTTTTGCACAGTTTATAAGATAGTTAATCACTATATGTGTCAGAAATCAAGTTTCAATTGGCCTGTACCAGTATCGCAGTGTCCCCTGTTATCAAACTTTAGAAAAAACATCATTTTTGAAGTGTAAACTTGTCGCTAAAAAGTACAAGCATGCCAGCGGTGTTTATCACCGTTTAAATATCCTATAGTGATAACATTTAGTGTTAATCTTAACATTATTTTTGATTAGAGGAGGTATTGTAATGTATTGAACCATTTGACAAATGCTAAAATTTAATGAAATATTTTGATGCAATTTAATAATTGCATAATTATCTGGTTCCGAGAAATTATATTGACTCGCATTTATAATTACAAGCATGTGCCATTTGCTCTTAAGAAAACAAACAAACATATCTCTTTCATATAGGCATTTTAGAATTATTCTCTTTTTACAAATTTCAAACAATTATTTCGTATACTTAATGCAGAAGAAATACATGTATATATTTATATAATTCAATAATATAAAATATATAATATATTAAATAACAAAGTCTTATATAAATATGATATACTATATATCACAACAAAGTCTTGCAAAGTACTTTTAGGTGTCCTAAAATACCGATTACACGGTTGGCACTTGTGTTGTAACTTGAAAGTAAAAGCCTCTACCTACTGAGAGCAACTGCAATAGCTTCGGTGCCATTCCAGACGCCGGGTATTTCAGCCGGGTACCATGGTGTCTGACAGTAAAGCTTTATCATTTCTAATTTGGTGATAAATTGGATAATATTAAAACATTATGCCTACGACAGTTTTAGCAGACGACAATTTTCCCAGCACGCAAAGGGGTTAATATTGTCGGTGTAACCTAAAACCTACAGAAGCTCTACAGTAGATAAATGCTATTGATTAAAAACAGTTATCTCTTTGCCATTAAATCGGCATGGCATCAGGTCATGAAATTAAAAAATGGGTTATATAATTTGTGTTGAATATAATATCTGTCAAGTGTATAAAAACTGTGATTTTGCATAGCCCTTCAAAGCAATTGTTACTACATTGCTTCTATCATATTGAAATTACGCAAAGTAGACCTTAATCAGTTAGTAACGTCATAGAAGTATGGCGATCAAAATCCAAATCATAAATTGTATTTGCACAAAACATGCAAGGTAGCACTTTGATTGTAAATATCGTATAAATGCATTTCCTATATATGTACAGTAAAAACCTCTATCCATACCATCAGTGTGTCTCAACCGAAGTGGTCTTAAAATTGCGGAGACTTACATACTTAATGATAAAGATAAATTCTAGTCATTTTGTATGTATATTTTCAAACAACATGTATTATAACAGACGGACATCAATATGAAAAAGATGTTTTTATGGGCGGAGAAATTTGATTGTACATAAATTCCTTTTGGTCTTGTTTAAACTCCTAAATGATGTACGCAATTCACACATCAAATAAGAATTCAATTCCTCGCCAAACATATGTGCAGAGAGTCTAGATTTGATTTTTCCCCACCTTGCATTAATTGCATGTCATGTGTGATATTCCAGTCTTAACATATTTAACACCTTGTTTCATCAAGTGTCATTCCCTCATGGGAATCAAAAAGATAAAAACGTCACGTGTCGTTATTAAATTATCATTGGTCTCTATAGTGGTCCTCAAAGTGGGGTCAAATTAAGAATAAAACAAATCCTTGATACTGAAAATGGCTGTCTAAATAATGGATACGACAAGAGGTCTTAACAATGGATCATGTTAACATTTAAAAAAAGAGAAAAGAATAGAAAGTACTTTTTTTAATTGATCTTAATAGTATGGTAATGTTAATTCCGGGGTGGTCTTAAAGTAGGATTTCTGTTTAATTTTTCCTTTTTTAAGCATTTTCTTTTTGAAAATTTGTTACACTTGTCAAGACGTGCAGCTTAAATGTACATGTATCTCTTAATTTCAGAATTTTCGCATAATACCGGTATTTGTATTACCTCTAGCATGGTCCTTGACCTCTGTTATACCGCTAACTATACTTTGTTGTGTAAAAATCGTCATAAATTTTAATCTTATAATGCTGAGATCTTTGTTTGGGAACAGATCATTCACTGTTTCAATGAGGGAGCCACAAATCTCGTCCTTTGCTGCAATAATTCCTGAAATGCATTAATACGAAAACATGTTTGATTGAAATAATTCCTGAAGTGCAATAATAAAAAACATGTTTGATTGCAATGATTCCTGAAGTGCAATAATTTAAAAAACACGTTTCATTGCAATAATTCCTAAAATGCAATGATACAAATTTCGTTTTTTTTCTGTAATAATTACTGAAATGCAATAATACGGTCACATGTTTGATTGTAATAATTCCTGGAATACAATTATAATACAAAAATCTGTTTGAATGCAATAATTCCCGAAATGCAATAATACAAAAACAAGTTTGATTGCTTTAATTCATGAAATGCAATAATACAAAAAAACAAGTGTGATTGCAAATATTTTCTGAAATACAATAATACAAAAACATGTTTGATTGCAATAATTCATGAAATGCAATAATACAAACATGTTAGATTGCAATAATTCCTGGAATACAATGATACAAAAATATGTTTGTATGCAGTCGTTCAATAAAATGTAATCCCTAATGGATGTTATAACCACAAAATGTTCATAATTAAAATTATGGAGAAAACAAATTAACGTGAAATGTCATATATTTGACCAAGGCCAGAAAATAACGTTTGGTATCAATTTACCCACTATTAAAGGCTAACGCATAATGTTGTAATTATATTTGGCCAAGAGTAAAGTCTAACGTTAAATGCCATTTATTTGGCCAAGAAAAAAGACATGAATCTTTATATAAACATGAGTATTTCCCACTCATAATTTTGAAGTAACATATTGGTATGTAATCGTTCAATGAATTTTATTCACTGTCATTAATTTGTAAAGGTTTAAGTTTAATTTCATATATTTGACCATGCAACCAAGAGAAAAGTCTAAAGTTTAATTTCATATATTTGACCAAGAGTAATGTCTAACGTTTTATTTCATATATTTGACCAAGAGTAAAGTCTAACGTTTATTTCATATATTTGACCAAAAGTAAAGTATAACGTCTTATTTCATATATTTGACCAAGAGTAAAGTATAACGTTTATTTCATATATTTGACCAAGAGTAAAGTATAACGTTTTATTTCATATATTTGACCAAGAGTAAAGTATAACGTTTTATTTCATATATTTGACCAAGAGTAAAGTATAACGTTTATTTCATATATTTGACCAAGAGTAAAGTCTAACGTTTTATTTCATATATTTGACCAAGAGTAAAGTATAACGTTTATTTCATATATTTGACCAAGAGTAAAGTCTAACGTTTATTTCATATATTTGACCAAGAGTGATCTAATGTTAAATGCAGAGAATAATGTATAACGTTTTTATGTCATTATTTAATCTCTAAAGTTTTGTGTTATATATTCGACCAAGAAAAGGCATGACATCTAACAGTCCTATAAAATATATAGCATTTGGTTTTAGTCTTTGTTTCTGTTAAAGTTTTTGGCTATTGACAAGTTACACAATTTGTTTAGTCGGTATAAATTAATTCAACGTGTATGATAACGAATGTATGACATTCGTCGTTCTTATTATTGTTCTAATTATTGTCATTTCTATTATTGATACTTAATTAGAATACCGGTACATAACCTTATATCACATGAAAAATAGTATCCGCTTTTCTGCTAAGTCATTTCTATTAATTAACAATTTTAATTATGCTCGCATCCACATTTTCACAAGATATACGCTAATTAATGAATGGTTCACATACCTATTTATATAATGGCCATTATTTCAAAAATGATGTTCATCTTCAATACCTGCCTGACAAAACATACAATATCGCTCATTTGTTACTACTTTTGTTCTGAATATAAATGACACAGTTCAGATTTCACTTACCTATTTTCTTCCATGAAAAGTGTTTCAAAAGAACAACGAAAGAGTTGGCTATCGTTTCGTACGATGGATACGTGCTGATGGCCGTGTCATTTGGAAACGATGAACTCTGTTTCCTTGGTAACCAGGTAAATGTAGGCACAGGGCCGCTTTTCAATACTGACATTAGCCTCGTGACTAAATCCATTGCTGTAACAAAACCGGAAGAAATGAAATGAAAAATGAGTCAATTATGTTATAGGTAAATAATTAATCCTCCGATTAATTAACAAAAAGCTTCTGAAAGTACGTTGCCTAGTAACGCTCGTGCTCAAAGATGCAATCGGAATTCCTCGGCGATCATTCCTATCCCAAGTTTGACGAAAAGGGCCAAGAAGATGCGATAGATTAAAAAAAAATTAAACACGGTTTCCTCTCTTCCCTACAATAAGAAATAGGATTGCACAAGGCACATAGGCTATCTTATCAAGAAAAAAACCTGTACTTTTTTATATTTCTTATTCAAGAGCAAGTTAATGGTCAGAAATAAAACTTCTTGAAAGCTATAAATAGACATATTTGTTCTAAACTTTTTGTGATGGGCTCCTTGGCCCAGTGGTTAAAATCGCTCAATTTCCGTCGCTGTGGGTAGGAGTCTCGCTATGTACTTCATTTCATTGGGAGAAGCTATGAAACGAGCTTACTGTATGTGATTTTCCTTTACGAAGTTGGAAAACCTTTTAGTATGACTTTTACAGCATCAGTCAAACCCGACAACAAGTATAATAAACTACTTGTATTTTTACAAGACAAATAACAGAACATTTGATGTACTTTCATTTTTATGGATTCACTATAAATAATCTCCACACCAAAATTGAGAATTTTACTCTGCAAGAATAAAGTTTTATTCTGACTAGTTCTAAAAGTGCAAGAATACGAGTATAATTGCAATTGTCGCAGTGTGTCAGTGTCAATCAATCGCTTGTGAAAGAAAAAAAAACATACACACACGAGAAACCCGTGCTTAATGCATGACATTAAAACATTAATTGATAGAGATCCATATTGTTTACGAGCGGTAATTGTGTGCATTAATTGCTAAAAATCAATTTTATCCTCACGATATGGATCATATTAACCTTTTTCATGATGTTGTATAAAAGGTTTTGTCTTAATTAAAAGTGCAGGTTCCCAGGTTGAGCTTGAATATGCCTCGATTTTTGATATTATTAAAAGATATAATTATTATGCGCAATTTTGGTATTTGAAAATATTGATAATTGCTACATGTTTCTTTGAAAATATAAAATAAACGTGTTTTGACTTCACACAAAGTAGAAATGTTATGTTTTAAACTCTACACACTTTAAGTTCACACTATGAATATATAGTGTCATTGAAAAAACTGGTAGTTTTTGTGGGTTTTTTTTTTTAAAGAAAGGGTCTACTTTTCTTGATCCGAATAGGAAATGCAGCTTCCCATACAAAGTTTGTGCATTTTCTTATACATATTAGACATATTCAGTAAGAATTTTATATATTGCAATAAATTTCCGCGATACAAATATTTCACTCAAAAATGAGCAAACTATAATATCTTTAAGATATGCTTTTTTCTAAGAAAAAATTGATTTCAAAGTGGTCAAGTGTTGCTTTTGTGTGCATTTATTTAAATGGAAACAAGGACCAAAAGGCAATTGTAAAGCAATATCAGCAAATGAATGAAACAGGGGCCTTAGTGTCAGAATAAATTTAGTTTTATTGATACATTGAGTTATTTAGGTATTTAAATTTGCTATGTTCTTTCTTCTGTTATAGCATGACACTGTGACCATAAGTATAATGAAATGACTAGGAAACAAACTTTATATTGAAGCATGTGAACAAAAATTAAATTTACTCCAGTTTTATATGGAGTTTTATCAGTGTGCGGGAGAAATGAAAAATCAAATAACAGCATGCGAGAGAAAAAAAGATTAAATAACCGCATGCAGGAAAAAAAATTGACAGATTAAATAACAGTAAAAAAAAGATTGAATAACAGTATGCGAGAAAAAAAGAATGATTAAATGTTTGTAAAAATGTTCATAATGTAACATGCAGACATGCAGGCCCTGTAATACCGCTCGAATTTTAACCCGTGATTCAGTCTATACCGAGGACACGTTAGAGGGTGCAGTTGTTTTGATTTTCATTTTTCTTTATTCAAACAAAAGACATTTTTTTCAAAAAGGAGATTTTGCAATGTGATTTCAAATCAAAGAACACAACTCAATCTCAATACAACATTACAGTATTAGTATTTTTTTAAAAATATCTTTGAAATAATAAAAGTACTTGAGTAATGACACGATAACCCAAATATATATAAAAAAAAATATTGTTCCATCATATAAAAGCCAATAAGTCAATCATTATGTTGTGAAAAAATTAGACATTAGACACTTGAGCCGTCTTTTATTTATACATGAAATAAATTATTTCGATGGCGACACCTTCTCATACATATTTTTGCAAATTCAAGATGAGTCCTAAGTCTGCTGTCTCAAATATGAAAAAAGAAACAAATAGGTAACAAACAAAAACCCCACAACAAACAAACAAAAAAACCAAAACTCTACATAACCACTTGTTAAATCAACTTCAACCTGTTGACATGACCGTAAACGCGTGTCAGATCATCATTTATATTTCATCTATAATTAATTTTGACATAACGATGCTTGAATAATTGATAGACAAATTAAGCTTATAGTGTTTTCCGACCATTACGCGCACAGATCTGCGCATACATGGACTGCGCATGTCACAGCAAGCGCAACATCAAACAGGTGTGGGGTTAGAACGGGGTTATCGATGGAACTTCGTAGCTGATTGATTATCTATTAATATCAGATGAGTAATATCCACTTTAAATCAACTTAACAGATAACTTTTTATCTTTATGTAGGTGGTAATCTTACGCACTTAAAAGGATTAAGATTAATAATACCGAACGACATTTCGTAACATAAACGAAGCATACTTTGTCTTGGTCGTTACAGAGATGATGTATTGCTCGTGGCTGACATGATGTTTTGGTCGTGACTGAAATGAGCCGCGTCACCACAAAACCAACATAGTGGGTTTGCGACCAGCATGGATCCAGACCAGCCTGCGCATCCACGCAGTCTGACCAGGATCCATGATGTTCGCTTACCAACTCTATTACAAGCAGAGACACTGATAGCGAACAGCATGGATCCTGATCAGACTGCGCGAATGCGCAGGCTGGTCTGGATCCATGCTGGTCCAAACCCATTATGTTGGTTTTGTCATGGCGCGGCTCAAATGATGTTTTGATCGTGACTGAGGTGATGTTTTGGACTTGACTAAGATATGTTTTGACCGTGACTGAGATAATGTTTTGGCTGAGACTAAAATAAGGTTTTGGACGTGACTGAAATGATGTTTTGCCGTGACTGAGATAATGTTTTAATCGTGACTGAGATGATGTTTTGGCCGTGACTAAGATAATGTTTGACTGTGACTGAGATAATGTTTTTATCGTGACTGAGATGATGTTTTGATTACGGAGAAAGGTATGGTTGTGACTGAGATTTCAGATTATTTGTGACCGAGATTTTTTATGTGATTGGAATGTTTGTTTGGCTATTGCAAATACGTTTTTTTTTCTCGTGACCTATACTATGTTTTGGTTGTGACTGAGATATTTGTTTGGTTGATGGTTTGGTAGGTGTAGGTGACTGAAATATTGTTTTGGTGGTGTGGTGGTGTTCGGTTGAAAGTGTTGGTGTCAAAGAACTGTTAACCATTAAAAAAATTATTTCCGTTTTTTTTTAAATTACACAATATACCTGCTTAACGTAGTCACGCAACTGGACATTCAAAATCATTAACTTTTTAAATTTTTTTGCTTAGTAATCCTAACCAAAATATTTATTTCCATGAAAAAATACTCGTGCAATTTTAGTAAAATGTAGTGAAGAATAGTCCTTCAAAAGTCAGATGTACTCACAAAAGTGCGAGCATTTATCAGCTCATCATGTTTTAGTCTATTTTGAGAATAACTAAGTAAATGTTATGACACTATAGCTCTTCTCAAAAAAATAAATTCAACAAGCGAACACGTATCAGTAAAAAATATTTTTTTTGTGGGCCCGTTTATTTTCAATCTTCATTTGGCAATGTTAACTCAGAAGTGAACACTACTCAGCGAGCAATGTTTACTCTGAAGTGTTCAGCTAAAAATGAGCATCACGCATTATTCATCATTATTCTATCTTTTCAAAATTATTAGAGATCTTAGTTGCTTGGTTTGCCAATGAAATACATGTATTGAATAATGGGTTTGATATATAACAAAAGAAAGAGATTTTTGTCCGAAATGTAAAACTATTGCAAAAGTCACACGCCCCTCCCATGGACAAACAACAGTTTAATTTTTGTGTATATGACACGGCATCTCATCTTTACAAACGTCATATAAACAACTTCAAGAGCTTGTCTTACAGACGAACGCTCACGTGACATATCTAAGACGCTGTAATCTTCTAACATCGCTAATTTTGCTCTCACCCCAGCACGACAAGGTAGTTTCTACCAGATACCACCTCTTTGTCAACACTTCAGACTATCGAATATGGACCGTATTTCTCACTTACAATACATCCCCCCAAAAGATAACTAAGTTACCTTAGTTACTGACTCATTGTTTTCCAGTAGGGGAAACTTTGTGTTTACGGATTAAACTATAATTATGGAAAATATGAAGTATACAATCCTTAAAATTTCGTAGAGATTACAATTAGAGAATGTCGAAATCACAATGGTGAAAATACGTAATTGGTCGTAGATGACCGACATGGGCTATGAACCCGTCGCCATCTAGGTGTTTTTCAACTCTGTAATTATTTGCCAGTATATCAAATATGGCCATAAAATAATCGTTTAAAGGAGATTTTTCTTCTTACGTCTTGATAAAATGCAGGCCAAATACATGTATTAGAAAAGCTGGTACTGGTTTCATCTGATGATGAAGAACTGGCACAGTCTATTGCTTGACTTTCACGCACGTGCACTGACGACGGTACACTTAATAATTAAGTACATCTATTGAACAATTAAGTTAATCATGTTTTTGCAGGTTGTTTTAAAAAGTCAGACATAAAGTGGCAATTTTTCCAAATTTGAAGTGATTTCATAAGTTGTCAAAGGAGGTGAAACAGTGAATACCTTTGGAAGCATTTAAATTTATATCGTGCATTTTTTTCAGACGTTACTGTGGTTGCTTGTCTTATTAATCACATCAAACTTCATGTGCTTTTTAATGCACATCCAATCAAAAGAACGGCAATATCACCCTGTCTCGCAAAAACATTGAAAATGGATATAAATGCTACATCGGTTATAAATAAAGAGTCTATTTAAGAGTTTTCATCAAATTTCTATCTTCATCTCAAGTTAAACAAAACATTACATAATATTTAATGAGTAGATTGCAAGCGTCTATTGATTTTTGGAATCATTTTCAAAAGCGTAAAGATGTTAATTTGTCAATACATCAATCAAAACAATAAATTACACGCTACAATTTTTTAAGTTAAAAGGGATACTCAGGCAATAATGACAAAAATATTAAAATGGTCTTAGGTACTCAAATCATACTAAAATGACATTTTGGGTTTGAAGCGTAAATATATCTATATATGTTGAACGAAATTTATCCGCCGACAGAATCACTTAGTTGTTTTAAAACAAATCATGTGACTAGAACAAACCCTGGAAGTAACAATAACAGATATGATTTCACTGTGACAACTATTGTGAAATATTAACGCTCTAACAAACCCACCCAAGTTAGGAAACCACCATTTTATTCTTTAGAGATTCCTGTGACTGCCTAGTGTATTCATTTTGGGGAATAAATGAAAAATTCAAAGCGGAGACATGAAATATGTGCCTGTATCTCCCTTTAAATTGTTTAATTTCGCATAGTTACATAAAAATGGGAAATCAGACAAATCTATTAAAACATTCATTTTTTTTTTCAGATGATAATAAACATATATAAATTGTGATTCACAGTAAAAGTCATAAAGTTTTAATAACGACAAAAATGTTGAAATTTTCAAAACTATTGGGGGAGTTTCAATATGAAAATTGTATAAACTTATTCGACCTCGATTCTGTACCCCTAAAAAATAATTGGTTAACTTACCAAATGCTGTTCAATTATAAATCACCCGCTAGCTTGATAGTAGTACCTTAAGCCGGCGAGACATTTTTTAATCAAATGTAAAAGTTAAGAGTGCATCTAAAAGCCAGTGACAGTTCATGGACGTTTAGTTTTAGTACATATATAATGATATGAATAAGTTAGTCACCTCATAAAATTTCTCATAAACTATGACCATACATATCATCTTAGAAACTTAAAACTCCAGAAAATATTTTTTTCTAGAAACAAGGAATCAGATTGCCTCCTTTTTCAATATGTTTAGTATATATATCTAGGGAAATTTCATGGCATGCAATTCGATACGACCACAAATAATAACCGTCTTGAAGTGTATTGAAGTATCAAACAATGTTACAATAATGATAATAATAAACTCTTTACTTCAAGGACAATAGCGTGATACCTATATCGAACATTTGGTTCGAGTGTATAGAACAATACAAAGGGGCGTCCGTGGCCGAGTGGTTATGGTCGTTGACTTCAAACCATGTGGGTTCGAATCCCGACCAGGGACTTTGGATTATTTCATGTGAGGAAGCTATCCAGCTAGCTTACGGAACGTCGGTGGTTCTACTGAGGTGCATGTTTGTGCCTGAAATAATGCACGGAAGGGCACCTTAGGTCTTCCTCCACCAGTAAAGCTGGAACGTCGCCATATGACCTATACTGTGTCGGTGTGACGTAAAACAAACACTAGATCAATACAAGATTGGAGTACATCTTCTAAACGAACGACTTTAATATATGTTTAATATACAGTGAGTTATTCATACATATCACATAGCCAAGCTCCTGGCGCTTAAAAGTTAAAATCTGGCAGGAGAGTGGGAGAATAGAAACATCAAGTTTCTCCATTACTTGATTTTAAAAGCGCTATGAACGGTTTACACAATACTTCAACATATGATATTGTTTATATAAAAACAAACTTTTGCCAACATATCGCCATTTTCACCCCTGTCCTGTGATTTGATATTCGTAATAACTTCATATTACCTAAGTATGTGGCATTAAATATGTAGAATTAGCTGGGTTGTTAATATTATTTATTTATTTATTTATTTCAAACGGAAACATCGTTATTGGCCTCTATAAGAAAGGAAAAGAGCCAAAAGCAGACGGACTATTAAGGTCGTTTTAGGTCTTGAAAACTTGGTAAAGCATATAATTTATAATAAAAAGAAAAACGAATGCGTGGAGGTCGTCGTGGGGCTTTGAAACAAAGGAACCCAGATGGATACATGGAGTGCGTTATGGGCCTTTTAACAAGGAAAACCTTGTAGAATGGGAAAAACGAATATTTCTATTTGTGAGTCTTAAACATGGGGAAACCTTGTAAATAAAAAAATGATTTTGTCTATAACGTTATGGGCCTTTAAACAAAAGAAACCTTGTCGAATATGTCTATGACATTGTGGGCCTTTAAACTCTGTTGAAACTCTACATTATATGCAAAACTAACGACATCATGAATCAATGTTTAAGAATAAAATCCCACGGGATCTGTTTGATTGACATTTTCCACTCAAGTAAACGTATCTGTGTGACAATTACGCACTGGTATCTTCTAATCAAACAGTTTATTCGCTCGCAATAGTTTGTTTATTTTTCATATCTTTAATTTGTGAACTTTTGATACAAGAAGATAACTGGGCGCTTCAGAAGGGAAATTGTCAAAGTTCTTAATCTGTCTCTAGATAAGTGTATGAACAAAGATGTAGATCTGAGCAAACTGTATCAAAAGTTTTTGGGTCATCGAGGGCATGTAAAGAAAACCAATTTCATTCATACTGGATTGAAACATAAAATTTTATATAGCTCTGTTTACAATTCAATTTAATGCATAAAATAAGATATAAAATGCATTGACACATGCTCACTAAAAATATCTTTCTTCTTTCTAGCGTTTATGACATCTCTCTCCCTCTATATATACACACGTATAATGTTAACATTTCATTTTACAGGAGTTCTAAACTTCCAAGCTTACCGAATACTAATAATGTATCTATTTTCATTAACTAAATCTGTATTATTGAAAAAAAAATATGTTAATATCCGGTGCATTTTTTTCTTGGGCCAATGTTCAATCACAATAAAATGAAAAAGTCCAAATGTAAATAAAAATGTTAAACAACAGAAGGAATTATTCAGTGTGACCAATTTCAGTCGCGAAATTAACACGTATAAGTATTATGTATATGTATATATGTTAAAAAAAGAATATATGTCTTATTCTTCACGGAGAACATAGATTTTATGTTAAAGTTAGAATTACCCCGTAGATAATGCATGTTGTTTCACATCGCAAAACTTTAATCATCTTTCCATATTTTTTTTTAGATCAGCTGACGTCATTGTTGCGTTGGAAGTTCTTTTTTTATTATAAATATGTTCTTTATTTTTGCGTTTGGTTTTAAGAAGGTTGAAGAAACAATTAAACTTACATTTTTCACACGCCGGACCCACAATCACATCAACATTGCCCTGTGTCCCTTGCTCATACCCTGTAAGAAGGGCCCTGGTGACGTCACAGTCCGTATTATTCCAAATATAATCAACAGAAGTTTTATAACGATTGTTTATTTCTTCCAGCGCAAGCTGAAAAGCACCGCCGGAAGTAAAAATTGTTGGAAATCCTGGAGAAGGGGCGCGTGTTGTCAGCAGAAGACCTATTTTAAAATTTTCACAGATACGAACACGAGCGAAAAGTAACAATATAAATAATGTATATGACGTCATAATTGAACAATGTACATTAATAAAATGAAAAATAATTCCAAGCTTTGAAAGAATATTTAAAAATATTATATCTTCAATTAATACGATATCTAAGTATCCAATTTTTTTTCAGTTTATACACTTCATTTATTACTTGATAAATCTTTTATCAATGCTATCTTTAAAATAAGCACGCGAGTACAAAATAATAAGAACAAATAATTATGAAAACATTTTCGTAAATGATTAATTGATGATGTTTATGTCTTCACATAATTGTTAATGTCATAAATATCCAAATTTAGGTCCAGGTATGTTCTTTAGTGAGATCGATAAACAGAACTGCAAGATCGGGAAATTGTCGTCTGCAGGTAGCAGTGACAGCAACGCTCTTAACATCACTAAGGGACGGTCATCAAGTATTGTCGTCTGCTTGAATGAGATTATCTATTTTAAAACAATCTGAAGAAGAGTTTTCCGTGTACAAGTGCTCAATTCATATTCCTTTAGAGGGTGTTACTGTCATTTGAAACTTTATCTTACTGGCTATGTATTTTAAAGGCACATTATGCACATTAAGTTTAAAGTTAGATACATGATGAAAACTGATTACTTTATTATATATTTTAACTGTTGTAAATGTTGATATCATCCTTTAAAAAAATCATTACGAGTTTATCTATAATTACTATAATTAATATGAGTGTCAGTCGGATGAATGAATGAAAATATCTTACCTTTACATTCAAGAATATATTTTTTTTTTTTGTTAAAACTAAAAGATTTTAAATTTTGTATAGATCTACATTATTATTATTATTATTATTATTATTATTATCATTATAATAATAATATTATTATCATAATTATTATTATTATTATTACAATTATAATAGAAACGGATAACTATTTTCTTTTTAAGAAAGGGGAATCATTATAAAAATGGTTTTAGTGAACTTCAGATGCTTATCACCTAAAGATAGTTGCGTTTAATGTGAAATTATTTCTCAAACAGTAGCAAAATGTAAACAAAATGCACATTTCCTTTGATCTGCAAGCAGATTCCATAGTTAGATATCTAATGGCGGGTACTAAACAGCATATTTTGACATAGGGCCTACACCGTCTGAAAAAGATTTTTATTTATGATGATCATCTAATGTTCCTATTTACTGTCAGCAAAGGAAAACTTATAATATTAACCGGAAACTGAAATTTTTGACCGACCCTCAAATCAGATATCACGGCGGATACACTCGGTGTACAATACAGTTTTGAAAGATACTTAAAAGGCCCTTATCAATTTCAAACTGACTTAAAAATCATTAAAACTCGACCTATGAACGCAAGAATCTCCATTTTGTGTATTTATTCTTAAATTCAAAACAAATAGCAATACTGATAACGAAACGAATTTGGACACTGGAAACAATTCAAATCATTATGTCAGTTTATCTTTCCGTTTATATTTTCCTTTGGATTAACTTCAATTCTCGAAATATCAATTAAGCGTTTTGTAAGTAAATTGGATGCAATTATTTCAAATAGGGAATTGCATTAGGCACGTGATATAACAAATGTCTTTTGCTAAATCCCGTTTTTCCTTAGAATTTCTTGCTGAGTTTTTATCAAGTATATATTAAGTTATATTTCTTACTTTTGACCTTCCACATTGTCCTTGTGCATTTTTATACATTGAATAATTAAACATAAAACTCCAGTCACCCAATCCCATCCCAAGAAAATGCTTGTAGAAAACAAGTATCTTTAGAAAAACAGTAATAAAATGAATTAAACACAAAACAAGTATTTGCAGATATTATTTATCAACTGTTGAGTTTTTATGGAGGGAGGGGAGGGGCGTAAAGGAAAAAGCTGCAATGTTGTGTGGTTTTACCATAATTTTATGATTTAACCAGGAATCACGGCTCTCAAAGTCTAAGTCACGACAATGTCCCGATGATGGGGGTCGTGAAAAACTGTTTTGTTTAAGCACCAAAGTAGTTGGGGATTATCCAATTCGTTGTGTAGTGTAGTGTGTGTCTTCTCACGGCAGTGTGTCCTATAAGTGCAATTCGTGTCCCCACAGTGCATGTGTGTGTGTGTGCGCGTGTGTATATGCGCGTTCGAGCGTATGTCCCCACAGTGCAGTGGTGACGTGTGTGTCCCCAAATTGCAGTTTTACTTTAAAATAAAACTTACTAATGTCTAAACGTGTGTCTTATCATGTTTTGATTAAAGATCTGAGCATGTTTGATTCTTATCACGAGAAGAAAGCAGTGTTGAGTATTAAATGATTTGTCTACAAGAAAAGCAAAATTTAAAGAAAAGGTAGATTTCTACTAATATAAAATCAAAAAACTTTATTTATGGTCAGCTTTAATTATGACTAATGAATATCTTTTTAGCAACTAGACTGTAACAAAAAGTAATAAAAAAAAGCTTGTGAGAAATAGAGATAATATGAATGTATTTTTGGACGTAAATTAATTAAAAAATTTAAAATGTCAAAACGGTTAAATTTAAAGCAAAACTTACATTTGAAATGAGAAATTGTATGATAATTTGACAGTTGTAAAGTGGGCCAGACGCCTATTTATTGATAAACGGTTTATCCGGTGATATAAGGTAAACAAAACAAATCCGAGTTACCTATCTCTATGTAATAGACAATGATGACGTAATGTAGGCGGTCCACTTTATAATTAGGTCGACAGGAAGTGAGTACGAAGCTTACACGCTTTGCTTATCAGCAATTTGACAATCAAAGAGGGTTTTTCAATTATTCAATAAGTATAGTCAGAGACACTATATACCTTATCACATGTATCTGGTATAGAGAATAAAGCAAAATAGGGGGAATTCAATAATTTTGAAATTGTACCGTATTTGGGGGAAAATAAATTACAGTAACACCCCTAAAATTTATACACCTGAATGAATTTTAAGTTTGAAGTTGAACCGTAAGTCAGCGCGTTCCACTATTCTCAGTGCATGAAAGTAAGAAAAGGGGTAGAACTCTGTGATAAGGTAACTCAAAATTATGGGACCTGTGCCCATCATGTAAGATGTGGAAAGTGGATCCATATCTTAAAAGATTTGTCCATTTTTCAAACTAGACAAAACTATTTATCATTTTAGGGATATTTCAAAATATCTATAGCTTAAATAACAAAACAGAGCATATCATGATCACTTGCTAGGATGAGCAGGCTGATCTTGGTCTGCACTGTCACATGGGTATTTCCCGCCATAAATCTAGTCAAGATATTATTGTCATTTATTATAAGCATATTCTTGCATTATTCATCATTCCTTTGCATTATATGATAAAATGTCAAGGGCGTTAACTCGAGTCGTAATTTATTAAGACTCTATTTTTCGTCACAGTGTACACATTTCCCGCCACTCCAGAAGCCTTGGAGCTGGGACAGAATAACAACTCTCCCACCTTGGAGTTAAGATGTTGTAGTCATTTGCCATAAGCTCCTTACACAATTTATCCTTTCCATTCCATTATACATGTATAATAAAATGTCAAGAGAATTAACTCCAGTCATAATTTAGGACTATACTTTTCGTGAATGATTTGAGAATACATACATAGTTTGTGTAAATATCACAACAAAACTTTGTTAATCAAATAAGATTCATTTTATTATCAAAATGGGAACAAAACAAGCGATATAAAATGAGTGCAACATTAGTGTGTCTAGAAATAAGCAACAACACTGTATATCTACATATAATGCAGCTGTAAAATATCAATTCAATAATTCAATGCTCTTAAAAGTATTATTTCAAAAAGGTTAAATTATCTGAACTAAACATAAATATCTTAAAACTAATAAATAAATGGAGAAAAATGGCTTATGATAAATAAGTCTACCTTTCAAACCAGGGGTCATTGGTTTAAGCCCTATAACATCATGTCCAAGTTTTATTTATGCTGGAGCCAAAGACCAATCATTTTCAGTTCCAGCACCATTAGAGTCACATAACAGAGATTCATACTTGACTATGCCACCAGTATGGAGCCAGCCAAGTCAGCCTGAGAAATAAGTACCATGACTACCATCTATCCAGGCTCTATGCTGCTGACTACTCAATTTTAACATTTTGATATGGAAACAACCAAAGTACAGTTCCAAAGTAAAGACTGGACATATTGATTATACAAAATATATCCTTAAGTCTGTCTGCCTTTCAAAGTAATTCAATTTACTTATCAATCAACATATAGTAGTATGCATTCACTTCAAATTGACTACTTTGCATACATATGCCAAAATAGTTGTCTTAAATTCATAGTAATGCACTAAAACGTATCCCGCCAATAGTAAGTTATATATGTGGTCTTAATTTGGCACACTAAACATGGCATAAAAGTAGTGAAAAAGTCATCCCTAGTCCAAGATAATAATTACAATGGGATATTCATAACAAATTTAAATGATATTTAAACATGTGGTGAAAGTCATCAATTTGTTCAATTAGGAATAACACAAAGTTGACTTTTAAAACAAAATTATCAAACTTTCAAAATTTCTAAGTGGCAGAGCCTCTACATAACTTCACTTAAATGATATACATTGTAATTTATACAACATATCTTATTGGCAAATTATTCTATTTCTAAGAATGAATTTTTTCTAATATCTTAGAATTCATATTCCACTCATTTATTGTCTGAAACATTTATTTCGGGGCAATAGATATCTGTAAAATCCAATTCAGGGCATCTTTTTTTGTAAAACTAAATTCATGGCACTTACTTTTTTGTAAAATTAAATTCAGGTCACTTATTAAAAAAAATAAAATTCAGGGCACTTCTTTTTTGTAAAATCTAAATTCAGGTCATTTAGTTTTTATAAAATCAAATTCAAATAAAATAAAATCAGTAACAATGAAAGATAAAATGAGGACTAGAAAAATAAAATACTTAATACTTAAAATGTTTATATATCTTGGCATGAATATGCAAAACTTAAAAAACAAAATATGCTGGATGATCTTAACTTAGACTGGTGTATAGTAATATCATAAGGTTCACAAATAAAATCCCGTTGTCATGGTTTTGATAACATACAAACATGTAACACACAAGGTGAAAAGTAACTCTAAAAGTGGGTGGGGTGCATACTTACACTAAAAACTTTAGTTATATGGAATGAACACATATCCATTGGTTATGTTTTATCATTTGTGCAGCGTTATTTAATATGGTATACCAGATCATGACTATTATGCTTAAAAATGCTTTAAAAAACTGTCAAATGCTGGAATGGTAAAAAATCATGTATAACTGCAAAAAGGTCAAAGGTCACGATCAGAGTCTTTCATAGAATAACATGTAAGCTTCTGTTGATAGAACTTCATCAAATGTCACTTCCTTTACGGCATGATCTGACGTACACAGCCATTTCGAACTGTACTTGTTCCCAGCTTTCGTTGACGGACTTCTACGATATGTTACAAAATGTCCGGAAAAAACGTCTCCAAGGTGAGTCACTACAGCTGTAAGTTTGTAAGTATAGTCCTGCGATTTCGGACTGTTATGGTTAATGTCTGACTGTACGTTTGTATGATGACTAGTTACTGTTTGGCCCGTTGCGGACTGACTAGAGGCGGGCGATGACGGGCGGAGGAAAAGACCGTGTGATGAGATACGGGAATCGTAATTCAAAGCACGTAGAAGAGTTATGTGACCGGATGTAGGTGATAGTACTGGTGGTTGTGATGGCAACGGAATGACTGTATTCCTGAAAATACAGAAATTAGGATACGACTTTAGCATGCTTTAAATTCACAAAAATGTTCATGTTTTTTTTCCCTGAAAAAGAGTATTTTTCTTTCAATTAAAATACATTTCATAAAATGTACAATAAAATTCACTTAAATGTGCGTGGTTTGAAAAAATGACACATCATTTATTATCAAAGCATCCCTAGCTATGTGTAGCAATTCTCAAAGAAATATATTCTAAAAAGCATATCTGCAATTGCAAATCATCATTCAAGAAAAATCAAAGAGATGAAAAAATTATAAATATTCCTGTGACTTCTCAGTACTTTGCATATAAAGACAAAAAAAGGTTTCTTTGAACCAATATATACATTATATAAACAATTTTTATAGAATAAGAAAGTTCACTTTGCATTGAAACTGTTCTGAGTCAGTTCTATATTTAGAATCAGAATAACAATTACAGCAAGTATTACATTAGGGTCCACATAAAAATAAGTTAGGTCACACCCCTAAAAGTGCAGCATAATTATCATAAATCATCTAAAATGTTGTTATTTTTAGAACATTGAAATCCCTAGATCTTAAAATAAACTGTTCTAAATAAAAAAGTGGAAGAGATCATTTTAGCAATTTAACAGATTAAATTTATATTATGGGATAAATAGATAGCGTGTTGACATACCCAAATAAAGCTTTCCCACCTAGAAGACCGTTTCTAGCAGATTTCTCGCACTTTGTATACACGTAATCCTCCATTTGTAAAACTTCTGGGAATACCACATGTTCGTATTTCTTCAACGGAATTCCACTGTCCAACCACTGTGTTCGTTGCATGTGTAAGCATAAACACTGGGGTAACTGTAGATATATAAATGAAATTGCATATTTAAGCTATATATAAATACAGACATGAAATAGATTAGCGTTGAAAAACAAAATGCATTAAAGGGACTCCACTGAGCTTTTCTGACATGACAGGACTTAAAATAATTTTAAGAGATGAATGTTCCATTGATTTGATGTAAGTCTAGACTAATACCTTTCAAAATTTCAGATTTTTTAATTAATTCTCTGATTATTGCCAGGTTTCCAATTTTGAAAATATTTGTTATTAGATTGTTTTTATGGTTACAATCTTGAAGTTTTTAAATTTAAAAAGCATGACTTATTGCAAAACAGGTAAGAAAATCACTGGCTATGACGAAGCTTCAATTTGAGACCGTAACAACTTTTTTCTTTAAACACACACACAAAAAAAGCCAGCTCTTCTTACTTCTGCACTTTTACCCAGCCCTACCTTTCCAATTGTGAGTCTTTTCAAACAAGAAGATTTTGGGTTTTCAACAAACAATGTGTTAGTTTCCAGTCCATCTTCCTCTTTTAACCTTTTTATTTTCTGGGCTTGTATTTTTTTACATCCCGGACAGTCTACGTCTTGTACTATCTCTGAGGTGATAAATCTTTGTAACAATACCTCCAGTTTAATTGCACTCTGAAGTAAAACAAATTGTTTGCTTGGTTTAAGTTTATACAAAACTAATTGTATTTCAATTGTTTAGGAAGCTAGAAGCTTATACACTCACTCTTGAATCTGTTCTTGTAACCAACCAGTGCTGAGCAATGAGTGTAAATTTTCTTGCATAAAGAAACAACCGCTTGCCTCTGATAGTTAACCAACATTGTTAGATCACTAGTTTGATGTGAAAACCAATATGCCGTGCTGCCACTTTGTCAAGCTTTCTAGCATAACAGAATGGTGTTAGGTTAGGAATGTCATTCTGGATTACACCAGTTTGTAAACAATATTGGTTTATTTTTTCCGGGTCATAATATTTTATATATGTTATACATGTACATGTCAATAATATAGAAAAGTATACACAAGTGACAACCATATTAAAATGTAAGTACAGAATCTGCACAAATGAGAATAACCCATAATTACCCAAGCTGTTTTAGGAAAGCTAAGAGAGAGACTGTCACTGAGATCATATCTGACAGGATGTCGGTATTTACAGTCCACACACTCCAGCTGACTGGCAAACAACATACGGAATGGATTGTCCAACTCCCTGCACGGCAACACTGGTAACAGACCTCTGGTCTTTGATGAAGCCATGTTAGATGGCTGATACTTAAGGTTTGAGTTCTTGAAACAAAGAAATAAGGATAACACGAATTGATAAAACTAATCTAAGATCAGCCCATATCTATACATACATGTGCATTTTGTTTTTTAAAATTAATACTTTAAATGGAAAACAGAATGAAATTAATATCAGTTCTTGAAAAAATTTCCATTTCAATTTCATCCAAACCCTAGAAAACTGCATTAAAATCTTTGAAAGCTGCTTCAGAACACAAAAAAGGAGCAAAATTAGGTAATTTAGGCAACTATTAGAAAACAATTGGATTTTTCTTACATTGTAATACAATCACTTTTCATCCAAAATAATGCAAATATTTTTCAAACATTACAATATTGACAGAAATAGGAAACTAAAAAGTTATTTTATCAAATGAATTTGATGAATGAGTCTGTTCAATCACTGAAAACCAACAAAGTATATTGTAATGAAATAAGTTTGTCAGAAATGAAGGGTCAAACCTCGAGTGCTGGAAGTTCAAACAATGGCAGTATCCTCGGAAACTTTGCATTCTCCTCATCCAATGTGGATGTGAACACATTAAACAACTCATGAGCGTCCTGGAAATCAAAATATGAAAATATAATAATAACATACATGTACCTCTTTTTTTATTTTGGGGGTGGGGGCGTGGGTGGCGTTTGTCACATCGACACAGTATAGGTCATATCTCAACGATCCGGCTTTTACTGGTGGAGGAAGACCTCAGGTGCCCTTCGGTGCATTATTTCAGGCACAAACGGGCACCTGAGTAGAACCACCGACGTTCCATTAGCTAGCCGGATAGCTTCCTCACATGAAAGAATCCTAAGTCCCTGTCGGGATTCGAACCCACAGCGGTGAGGGGCAAGTGGTTTGAAGTCAACAACTTTAACCACTCGGCCACGGACGCCCCTTACATGTACGTTGTAATATCTATGAATGCTGAATAAAATCTTTGCCTTTTCCATAACATACAATGTACATGCACATTGTATATCATTCAAGTATACACTAAGCTGATTTACATTTTAGTTGTAAATAATACATTTATAACTAATTAATCATGTTGAAAATTAACAGATTTCACAGAAAATTCATGCATAGAAATAACAAATAAACCATGTTTTACTAGTCTGTGACTACAGGACCTATATGCTTACTTAAATTAAACGGAAAAAAAAAGTTTAAAAGATAGAAAAATCATTTATTTTAGGCCATCCTTAAAAAAATGTTTGTTTGCAGTAACCCGACCCAGAATTTTCAAGGTGGGTAGGTAGGTCGATTTTTTTTTTTTATTGAACTGTACTCCCAAATAAACATGGAATTTCAAAATGCTGGACTATATATGCTTTGATAATCTGGTAACAATTAATAAATTGATAACTGAATTCTAATTTAATAAGACCTACATTTTATTTCTTCTATTAACCTTTAAAAGAACGAAAAAAAAAGCACAAGGCATAATTTTTTGATTCAAAAAAAATATTTTTTTATCCAGACCATGAAAAAAAATTTTGAGAAGGGGCAAATTTTGTGAGTCGGTCGCGTTACTGCAAACAATCATTTTTTTAAGGATGGCCTTAATTTTTTGTATTTTCAGAAATTCGGCAAATTAAGGGTTAAATGTAACTTTCACCTGCTGGTCATGTGAAATGACCCATCTTCTTGACCTTAGGGCTCCTATGATATCAGCTGGTGAATGGACGTCCCCACAATCTTCTTCTTTGTTATTTAGTACTAAAAATTGAGAAAAATGCAAGTACAATGTAACACAGCCTTCCAACATATATCATGGTTAATGTAAACTCCAAATAAAAATATTACTTACCTAATATTACTGTTAAATGTAAAAAATGTTATAAGCTTTGCATTTATTTTAGCACCTTAATTCAATGTATTTATTGCAAAATTTTTGGATGTGTAAATTAACGATGAATGTTTTTTTTTATATTCTGCGTGAAGCCATTTCTGTGTGAAGTCATTAATTTTTTGTTTGACATACACTTGATTGTTTCTCAATGGCTGAATTTACTTACATGTATATCAATAACTTAAGACAAATTTATCATTTATGTCGAAATACGAAAACTATTCTAAACTAATGTAACATTTTTTTTATTAAATCATGCCAAAACAGATAATATAAAATATAAGCCAAACACTTCCATTTTGAAGACTTACCATTAAGAGTTCTAAGTAATGGTCTAGCTAGGCATTGCCTGTGAGCATTTTCTGTATTTTTCTCAATAAATTCATTCAACCATGATACAACTGATGGTGTAGATGCCCATGCTTGTAAAACAACATTCATGAAACATGTATTTCCCAAATTCTCTAAACCTCTACATAGAGCTGAAATCAAACAAACCAGTTTTGCATAAAATATCAAAATGTAATTTTTCAGCATTATAAGGTACACAGATACATGTACTTACAGAAAGGTTGAACACAAGACCAAAGGGACCGCACATAGTGATTTACAAAAATGTAAGTATGTTGTTATTACCATTGTATGGATTTGAATTTTTTAGAAAAAAAAAGAGATCTGCCAAGAATTTGAAACTTCTGGGATGGGTCATCTTAGAAAAATGATGGGCCATGGGTAAATAATATAAACTTTGACCTAAATGATTGTATTTTGGTATAAAGTTAAGTATACTCATTACTGAATAATATTTTCAAATTATTAGTGTGTGGTAAATCGTGTGACCATTATTAAAAATTGTGCTCTTAGTCTTAAAGGCTTATCAATTTTTTTTTGTACTAAGAGTAACAGTGATTATCTAGCCTAATTAATTCAATGTGAACGGTTTGACCCATTTTACAGACTTTTTTTCATACTGTCAAACTGTTGAAAAAAGACATTGCCCTTCAAAAATTATCTTGATGTCTCTTTCACAAGTCTAATTAGTTGGACTAAGTGTCAGAGACCATCTTGACTGAGGTATGTTTGTTTACAAATACACAAAACTCAAAGGACATTTGCTGGTAAATATCATGAATTTATATGACAACTGTATTTTTTAACAGAAACATTTACTACATAACATTCAGAGCATTTATTGGCTTATATCCTTTATAGATTACAAAATTATAGAATAAGATTAAGACTTAAAGAGGTGTTGTTAAAAAAGCTATTTACAGATTAACTGCCTATGACATCATGGGATTCTTTATACATACACTAATCAGTCATCGAATTTAGCACCGGCCCGGTGGCCCATGGCTAGTGAAAATTAGTTCGGGCCAGTGTAAATCTTAAGAAAATTTAGTTAAATATATAGGAGAATAATTTCAAAACTGGAATTCGGGCCAGTAAATTCAAAATCTTAAATTCAATCACTGCACTTACACATGTAGATGTTTTATTATTTGGATATTGATAGTTTCAATTATCATACAAATGTCTCATCAGTGATTTTTCTACTCTTATGACACACTCCTCCCAATTGAAATTTTCTTTTAAATCATGCAGTTTTCCCAAAAATCTGAACTTAAATCTGCTTTTTTACTTCCCAAATTAGCAATTTTAGCAATGATTTTTCCCCAAATCAGGAGTCTCAATTCAGTGAAAAAAATCACTGCTCATTAGTAGCCTAAATTATACTGAAATAGCCAATGAGATCGAGTGTTAACCTGTTAACAGTTCAACAGTCAAGATCAGCATGTATCAGTTTCTTCTGAACACAAAATATACCTTTTTTATTTGTTTTACTTGATGGCCCCCAAAATATATAAACAGTTGCAGCAAAGATACTTGATAAGCTTCCAACCAATAGTAAATTTTTGTCAAACATTTTTACACAAATTTCAACAGATTTTTGTTTTGAAAGGTGAAGGTCGTTCACGGCGGCGACCTGTAAGAACGAAATTATCGTGTTAATAACTATTGGGAAACTGAAACGAAAATATGGCGGACCAAAATGATTGGAAAAGTGAAGCTTTTCGAAGAAAAGTAATAACCCAGATGTAAGTTCACACAGAATTTATTGGTTTTCGTTTCATTTTTTCATTATCCATAATTGTTTTCATTATTTTATAATTCTGTTGCCAAGTGCATCGAATACAACAACGTACTTATGAATTCTAGGTTTCAGACTACTAAATTATCAGTTTTTCCAAGGTATATAAAATTATTTTATGTAATTTGGTTCTAATGAGTTTGATTCCCTGTTGAATTTATCTGAATGATATTGACCTACTATTCAGTATGAAAGCAAGTATCGAGAAATGCAATTATTGAGTTTAAACTTTAAATGATACACATTTATTTGAGTGATCTATTTTTAGTAAATTGTCTAAAGATTATAAATAGCTTCAAGTCATTTAAAATGACGATATAATAATTCATGCAAATGTAAAAACATCTCTCAAGTGAATGATGTGAAAACCACATACATATAAGTTTTTTATCCTTGGCTGGGACAGAGATCTACATAACATGTATAAAATTAAATAACATAATATATGAAATTGAATCAGGGTCAGCTAGGCCCTAAAACGTACTCGGCCCTCGAGTCAGCTTGGCCCTATTCCAACTCGGCACGGGTCAACTCGGCCCATAATTAAATATAACTAATGATTACTTTTATTACTTTTGATATGTTTTCATCATAACTTTCATGGTTTAACATTTTCACACTAACAGACCTCTACTCAAGGATATTGAAAAGTTTTATTGATGAAAGTACCAATTTGTATGTGAATTTGTAGAGAAAGAAAGAATTTACAATTTATACGCATGTTTTGCTACTCCAGATTTTTTGTAAAAAATATCGTTAAAAAAGCATTGGTCGTATTATTATTAAAGAACAAACATTAATACTCAGTATTAAATACAATTACATTTATTGTCACAAAAATTCAATCTAAAAACTCTATTTATTGATCAATATTTAACATATATTGTCTTGATATCTCTTCTTAACAAAGATAATTTCAAACAATACGTACAGGTACACTGCCAACTTTTTCAATTTCTGTTTGTAAGTGATCATATTTCTAAAAAACTTTATAGTAATTTTCTCCTTAAAATTTTTATTAACTAAACAATCTATATCCTAATATATGCAGGGTGTTCACTAGCCATGAAATCATGAGGGTCATTTGACTAAGTTTAACCGACTACAAGGCCAAATCCCCATGAACTTAACAAAATTTGACCCTCCAGTTAAAATTTTGAGTGTCAAATCAGGCCTTTTGGAAATTTGAAGGGTCAAAGAGTCATTTCAAGGGTCAAACGGACACCCTGTATATGTTTTTAATAGAGGGCCGAGTTGACCTGTGCAAAGTTGACCCGTGCCGAGTTGGTATAGGGCCGAGTTGACCCTTTACCTATGAAATTAGGCAAAACCTATGAATGGGGAAATCGGTTTAAGAAATCATTCACTTTTCCGTTTTACAGGTGTCATTCGGTATTTCATGCACTGCTTTTGTTTTCACTGGGAATACTCGACAATTATTATTAATCCAAAAAATTACATTGTTATCTGAATACTCTTGTCTATAACTCTATTATCATTGAGTAAATGAGTTACATTGAAAATGACGGCCCCCAACTAGAACTGACACTGAAAATTTCATTGATAGGTATAGAATTCTATATATTCTTAAATTGTCTTTTATTTGATTTTCGTTTAAATATACTCATCATCATGATTTTGTAGTCTATAGGTGGGCAAGCCAAAGCCTGGGACCGCGAGCGGTCTCGGCCTTTGACTTCTCCGTATTACATCTGGTCTTGGGGGCTGAAGTGTCTTGTCAGGACACTCTATCCATTTTGTCAAATTGTCCTTAGAAATGGGTATTTCTTGTACACTGTAAACAGTGTCAATAAGAGAAATGTAAGCCAACTTAAAACTGTTATTAACAACTGGTCCTTTTAACATGTTTAAAAGTAATTTATGTATTCAAAATTATGGTCTTTACAATGTACACTTAACAGTATGTGTTTTTTTTGAAAAAATTTTGATGTAAGATTTCATTTCATAAAAACAGCCTAAATATATTTATTAAACAATATGAGCCGCGTCATGACAAAACCAACATAATGGGTTTGCGACCAGCATGGATACAGACCAGGCTGCGCATCCGCGCAGTCTGATCAGGATCCATGCTGTTCCCTATTAGTTTCTCTACTTGTAATAGGGTGTGTAAGCGAACAGCATGGATCCTGATCAGACTGCTCGAATGCGCAGGCTGGTCTGGATCAATGCTGGTCGCAAACCCATTATGTTGGTTTTGTCATGACGCGGCTCATATTTTAAGCTTCACTATAAGTCTATAAATCTGTTTGAAGTATGGTAGATTTTGAGCTCCAAGACATTGTATCATACTTACCTAGGCTTTGCATCAGTGTAAAACTTGGGGCTAAGTTTTCTAACAACTTAATACCTCAGCTACCACTCAGTGAAGGTATCAATTCAAAATTTTATGGATAAAAGAATTTAAGAAAAGTTGTTGACCACTTTCAGAATGAGTAAGAGACTAAGAGTAGCGTTACCATTGACATATATTTATACCACTTCTTTAAGCTTATAAAATTTCTGATTAAGGTTTTGCAAGATGTTTTTTCCTACCACTTACAAAGTTATTAATTTGGAACTTCACAATTTATTTCTTAAAAAAGTGCGATATAGAAATACTGGGTTGGTCTGTCTACTGTCTGTCTATCTGTCTGTCCATGGGTCACACTTTGTGTCCGGTTCATTACTCAGCCATTCATCTAAGGATTTTGAAGTAACATGGCACAAACATCCACCATAATAAGATGATGTGTCATGCACAACACCTAGAACCGAGAATTCATGGTGAATCATGGTGAAGGTCCCATTGCCTGATTGAGGGTATATTTCTTGTCCTGTTCATAACTTTTTCATCCATCAAAGGATTTTGAAATAACTTGGCACAAATGTTCACCATAGCAACATAATAAGATGACATGTCATGCACAACACCGAGTTTAACCATCCAAGATCAAGGTCACAGACTGAGAGGTCAAAGCTTAAATGGTCTGTAATAGGACATGTTTAGTGCCCTGGAGTCTATAACTTTTCCATTCATCAAAAGATTTTGAAATAAGTAAAAGATTGCACAAATAATAACCATATTAAGACAATGTGTCATGCACAATACCCAGACCCCTACCACCAATGTCAAGGTCGCATTTAGAGGTCTAATCTTAGCATTGTCAGTCTGTTTGTCTCCTTGTCCAAAACTACTCTGACAGTTATACAGAGATTCTAGTGAAACTTTAAAATATGAATTCAAATCAACCCCTTATGCACTTCTTTTCAGTGATAAAAACTGTCCAAATTTTCAATATCTATCAATCCAGATCCATACCTCAAACTTTATAAATAAGACTATTGTAAAATTCATGTAAAAATTCCCTGAAGTGGGCAAGGGATGTTCGTATCTCTTTTACAAATTCTTGTTTCTGATTAAGTTGAATGTTGATGCATGAAAGAATACATAGATTTGAAGGGAACATGCATGTACAAAATGTACTATATGACCTTATCTCTAAGGATATAGATATTTTCAAATATATTCTTTATTGTATTTTATATACTTTGTTGTATTTTAATATACTTTTTTGTATTTTCATAGAGAAGATGCTCTACGGAATTCAAACACACAAATGAACAAATCAAGTGGGGAAATGGAGAACCATGTGTTCCAGAAAGCCAAGTCAAGGGTAATTTTATATATTGTTTAAACATTGGTTTTCTGAAATTTTCAAGTTAAATAAGGAATTAAACAGTTTTATAAATTGAAAAATGCCTAAATTTTACCTGTCTTTTATGCAGAAAAAATCACAAGTGTGCTTCAGGTTTATGTTACGCAGCGCTAGGCACTTATTATGTTTTCCCCGTGATCATTTTGTTGAAGGCAATGCCAGTGTTTTATATGTCTAATGTATTATTATTTGAAAGTTTTTTCGTCTAATGGAGAAGAAACTATCCGGACCAGATGGCTTTAGGAATTCTGAACTTACTAGTCTATTAATTTTATTTCAGGATGAATATCTTGCTTTAGTTGCCAGACTTATTCTTCATGTGAAAGACTACAGTAAGTAAAATTAAATTTAAAATTATTTCATATTGTTACCAGTCAGACATTTTTGTAGATGTGCATGTAATATTTTTGCTTGTTTCCTCACATCACTGTTATTCCCTTTAACTTTACAGCCAAATAAAGGAGTTTGTCTTAAAAAGGTAATTTTCCTCCTAAAAATGCAAAATTGTTCTCTTAAATGTCACTGTGCACATTTTCTACCAGAACCTTCATGTAACAGCGGCTGACTTAACTCAGTTTATTGATAAATTTAATGGACTGAAAGACAGAAAGCTGTCACTATAGTAAGCCTCTGCTATGTACTTTGCATCTTTAAGTGCAATTAAATTTGATTTCAGATCTCCCCTTGTTTTGGCTTTATCATACCACAGGTTGTTTTGAAACTAAAAAATAAAAACAAAAAAAGTCACTGCACATGTTTCCATCTACAGTCATGGAATGTTCGTTTTATTCATTTTTGTACTAATGTATCTTAAAGTCCTATTACATAAATTTTCTATGGACTATGGAAGTTCACTAAGTTGATTTTTTGTTATCTTAGTTTAAAAATTCAAACAATGAAAAACCAAGAAATAAATTATAAACTTGATATGCACAGTAAAGTCATTTCAGGCAGTAATCACATGCAGAGGTGTGTCTTTGTCATGTTCTTACATTCTTTGTCATGATTACACTTTACCTTTCTTACATTCTTTGACTTGATTTTGCAATACCTTTCATACATTTTTTCATTTTTTGTCCTGATTATTTGATTACACTGTACCTTTCTTACATTCTTTGTCATTATTATGCAATACCTTTCTTACATTCTTTGTCATTATTATGCTATACCTTTCTTACATTCTTTGTCATTATTATGCAATACCTTTCTTACATGCTTTGACTTGATTATGCAATACCTTTCTTACATTCTTTGTCATGATTATGCAATACCATTTGGACATTCTTTGTCATGATTACAAATACCTTTTGGACTTTCTTTGACATGATTATGCAATACCTTTTTTAGCTCACCAGAGCCGAAGGCTCAGGGTGAGCTATTAGTATCAAAGGGGGATGCTCCGGCGTCCGTCGTCATGCGTCAACAATCGTCTTCTTCTCTGAAACTACTGGGCAGATTTACTTCAAATTCGGTCTGTAGCATCCTTGTGACAGTCACACTTGAATTTGCTCATGTCATTCCAATTGGCCCCTTTTAGGGGTCAGCAGAGCTAAAAATAGAAAAACCTTTAAACATCTTCTTCTACAGAACTAATGGATGGATGATCACCAAACTTTGTCTGTAGCATTCTTGGGTAGTGTTTTATCAAATTTGCTCATATTAATTTGATTGGCCCCTTTAAAGGGTCTCTAGGGCTAAAAATATAAAAACCTTTAAACATCTACTTCTACGGAACTAATGGATGGATGATCACCAAACTTTGTCTGTAGCATTCTTGGGTAGTCTTTTATCAACTTTGCTCATATGAATTTGATTGGCCCCTTTTAGGGGCCGCTAAAGCTAAAAATAGAAAAACCTTTAAACGTCTATTTCTACAGAACTAATTGATGGATGATCACCAAACTTTGTCTGTAGCATTCTTAGGAAGTCTTTTATCAAGTTTGCTAATATTATTTTAATTGGCCCCTTTTAGGGGTCTTTAGGACTAAAAATAGAAATACGTTTAAACATCTTCTCCTACAGAACTAATCGATGGATGATCACCAAACTTTGTCTGTAGCATTCTTAGGAAGTGTTTTATCAAGTTTGCTCATATTAATTTGATTGGCCCCTTTTAGGGACCGCTTAAGCTAAAAATTGAAATACCGTTGAATGTCTATTTCTAGAGAACTAATTGATGGATGATCACCAAACTTTGTCTGTAGCATTTTTGGGTAGTCTTTTATCAAGTTTGCTAATATTATTTTGATTGGCCCCTTTTAGGGGTCTCTAGCGCTAAAAATAGAAAAACCTTTAAACATCTTCTCCTACAGAACTAATTGATGGATGATCACCAAACTTTGTCTGTAGCATTCTCGGGTAGTGTTTTAACAAGTTTGCTGATATTAATTTGATAGGCGCCTTTTAGGGGCCGCAAAAGCTCAAAATAGAAATACCTTCAAATGTCTATTTCTAGAGAACTAATTGATGGATGATCACCAAACTTTGTCTGTAGCATTCTTGGGTAGGCTTTTATCAAGTTCGCTCATATTATTTTGATTGGCCCCTTTTAGGGGCCACAAAAGCTAAAAATAGAAATACCTTTAAATGTCTATTTCTTCAGAACTAATTGATCACCAAACTTTGTCTGTAGCATTCTTGGGTAGTCTTTTATCAAGTTTTCTCATATTAATTTGATTAGCGGCTAGCCCCTTTAAGGGGTCTCTATAGCTAAAAATAGAAATACTGTTAAATGTCTATTTCTACAGAACTAATTGATGGATGATCACAAAACTTTGTCTGTAGCATTCTTGGGTAGTCTTTTATCAAGTTTGCTCATATGAATTTGATTGGCCCCTTTTAGGGGCCGCTTAAGCTAAAAATAGAAATACCTTTAAATGTCTGTTTCTACATAACTAATGGATGAATGATCACTAAACTTTGTCTGAAGCATTTTTGGGTAGTCTTTGATCAAGTTTGCTCATATTATTTTGATTGGCCCCTTTTAGGGGCCGCTACAATTAAAAATAGATATACATTTAAACGTCTATTGCTACAAAATTAATTGATGGATGATCACCAAACTTTGTCTGTAGCATTCTTGGGTAGTCTTTTATTAAGTTTGCTCATATTAATTTGATTAGCCCCTTTTAGGGGCCGCTAAAATTAAAAATAGAAAAACCTTTAAAAATCTTCTACTTCAGATTCAATTGATGGATGACCACCAAACTTTGTCTGTAGCATTCTTGGGTACTCTTTTATCAAGTTTGCTTATATTAATTTGATTGGCCCCTTTCAGGGGCCACTAAAGCTAAAATTAGAAAAAAAACCTTTGAACATCATTTCCTACTGAAATAATTGATAGATGATCGCCAAACTTTGTAGCATTCTTAGGTAGTCTTTTATCAAGTTTGCTCATATTAATTTGATTAACCCCATTTAAGCCAAAGGTTGAATACCCCAGGTCATGGCATTTCTTCAAATTATTGTTTAAACATATTCTATGCTCAAATTTAATATTAGAATATATTGACATTCCAACACTGAAAAGCAGTTGTTTCTGGTGAGCGACTCAGGGCCATCATGGCCCTCTTGTTACATTTTTTTACATGGTAACACAGTATCTTTTCAACATATTCCAGACAGCCAAAGACGAGACAAGCAACTACCCCAGGGTATTTTGGGAGGACCAATGCAGCAACAACAGATGGGCACGGCTCCTGGAATGCAAGGACCAATGGGGGCCATTCAGGACCCTATTAATGCCCTACAGTCAATGGCAATGAGTGGACCTGGAATGGGACAGCAACCCCAAGGTTGGTAGCTTACAATCTTTTGTTGAAAGTAATACACCTTTTACTGTGTGGTTATGGTCACAAGCTTTGACACATTTAAATGATATTTTTAAGCTAATTCATGAAAAAGCAAACCCTTAGGCCTCAGGGGCGTACATCGCTAAGAGCTTTTGGATGTTGACTTCAAACCACTTGCCCTTCACCACTGTGGGTTGGAGGGGTGTCCTAGTTCTTTCTCCACCAGTAAAGCTGTATGACTTTTACAATGTTGGTGCAACATAAAACCCAACCAAAAATGACTGTGCCTTCTAAAACTCTAACCACTATTAGTGTCACATGAGGAAACATTATCATGACTTAAGGAGGGTTCAGACCCATGAAACCTAGGTTGAGAGACAGACACTTTCATCACTAGGCCACCTTTCCATCTATCATGTTTACAGATGTGGGTTTAGTTTCTTGTTACAACAATGAATTATTTCATGTGATTCATTGAAGAGAATATCTACGTTACTTACAAATTGTCAACAAAAGTCTACTCTGATACCTATTCTTGAGGTAAATAGAACATAAAGGGTCTCCTTATGTAGTTGTTCATGTTAACTATGGCTGTTTTCCATTTAGCAATATAACTATGACTGTTTCTCACTTAGCAATATAATATGGCTATTTACCACTTAGCAGTATAATGTCTGTTTCTCACTTAGCAATATAACTATGGCTGTTTCCCACTTAGCAATATAACTATGGTTGTTTCCCTTTTAGCAATATAACTATGGTTGTTTCCCTTTTAGCAATATAACTATGGCTGTTTCCCACTTAGCAATATAACAACGACTGTAACCCACTTAGCAATTTAACTATGTCTGTTTCCCACTTAGCAATATAACTATGGCTGTTTCCCCACTTAGCAATATAACAATGACTGTTACCCACTTAGCAATTCAACTATGTCTGTTTTCCACTTAGCAATTTAACTATGGCTGTTTCCACTAAGCAATATGACTATGGCAGTTTCCCACTTAGCAATATAACTATGGCTGTTTCCCACTTAGCAATATAACTATGACTGTTTCCCACTTAGCAATATAACAATGACTGTAACCCACTTAGCAATATAACTATGACTGTTTCCCACTTAGCAATATAACTATGGCTGTTTCCCACTTAGCAATATAACTATGGCTGTTTCCCTTTTAGTAATATAACTATGGTTGTTTCCCACTTAGCAATATAACTATGGCTGTTTCCCACTTAGCAATATAACTATGGTTGTTTCCCTTTTAGCAATATAACTATGGTTGTTTCCCACTTAGCAATATAACTATTGTTGTTTACCACTTAGCAATATAACTATGGTTGTTTCCCTTTTAGCAATATAACTATGGCTGTTTCCCTTTTAGCAATATAACTATGGTTGTTTCCCACTTAGCAAGATAACTATGGCTGTTTCCCACTTAGCAATATAACTATGGCTGTTTCCCACTTAGCAATATAACTATGGTTGTTTCCCTTTTAGCAATATAAATATGGTTGTTTCCCACTTAGTAATATAACTATTGTTGTTTACCACTTAGCAATATAACTATGGCTGTTTCCCTTTTAGCAATATAACTGTGGTTGTTTCCCACTTAGCAATATAACTATGGCTGTTTCCCACTTAGCAATATAACTATGGCTGTTTCCCTTTTAGCAATATAACTATGGTTGTTTCCCACTTAGCAATATAACTATTGTTGTTTACCACTTAGCAATATAACTATGGCTGTTTCCCTTTTAGCAATATAACTATGGTTGTTTCCCACTTAGCAATATAACTATTGTTGTTTACCACTTAGCAATATAACTATGGCTGTTTCCAACTTAGCAATATAACAATAACAACGACTTAGCAGTATAACATAACATGTCAGTGCCATCTGATCATGGTCTTCACTGTTTGCATAGAAGCACACTTAAGGTTAAACTTTTGATAGATTCTTCCAATTTCAATGCAAAGCAGAGCTTGGTTATGCAAATAAGGCGGTGTAAGAGTTTCATTGTGTAATTGTCAAGTTAAGTAGATATGATTGCACAAATGCAGCTAAATATCTTGTAGTTTTCCTAAACAATATTTATTGTTATAAATGTTACATATACATGTATATAATTGTAAATAAATAGTGTGTAAATACTGGTATGCATGATATGTGATAATTACGATAATTTCTTGGAATATTTTCCATTACATTATTTGTGGTCTGTTGCGAGAAAAAATTCATGTGGTTAAATGACTGGTTGCAAGGGTGATTTTATCGAGGACGATTTTTTAAACTTTTTTTTAGCAGTTTCCTGTTTAAATGTACGTATTATTATTATTGTGTAATGAATATACAAGTTACTACTTGGGACTTATTGAAATATAGGGGAAAATATTTCTTTTGGTATAAGTATACAAATTGTAAATTATGACATGTGTTAAACAACCAGTACAGGTAAAAGAATTTGGGGGAAAGTTACCAGGTTAGCATACATAAGGTCATTGGTTTAACAAAGGTTCCAGATTAAGCCAGGAGATTTACTTCAAATTTCTGGCCGATTTGATTTACTGCTATGGGCTTAAATCCTGCAAGGGACTTTTGATTACATGTAAGGGACGTCTGATGTATTCCTCCATCAGTGAACCCAGTGTTCAATCAGTGTGCAAAAAAAGTACCATAGAATTCCTATTAAATGCCCCTGGGGATAAAAAACTAAAAGGGGGCTATTATTACAAAACAGTTTTTCCTAAATCCAAAAATCATTTAATGTAATTTTAGTGTTAGCAAGTGTTGGTAATAACATTAAAAAGTGTTATGGTTTTAAAGTTTTTATGGTACATTTATGTATTTACTATAAAATAAAATGGATTCTGAGAATTTGAATAAAATGATGGATTTACTCAGTTTAGCACTGATAAGTAGATGTTTTACAGGGAGACCTTTATAAGGGAGGGGTGTTTAAAAGAAATTTTACTGTAATTGAAAGACTTGTCTATTAGTCATTCGAATTGAAGTAGAGAGAAGTGCCAATTGCAGTGTTTTGCTTTGATATGTGCTAATGAATAAATATAAGAAAAAAATCCATTGATAAAATGTGGAATTTGCTATGGATTTTCTATATATATATCGTGTAGGTATGATGCAAGGGGGTCCCCAGATGACAAACCTACAACAACAACAACGACAACAACAAATGTTACAGCTACAGCAACAAAGACTTCAACAACAACAACAGCAGCAACAACAACAACAACAAAGGCCACATTTACAAGTAAATGTATAACTTTTTTTGTCTATCTATGACAGAATGAGTTCATACTGTTTATACTGTTTCCTAATGATATAATCTGACTAAAAACCCGATCAGTCATCCATTTTCTATCCAGCAGTGCCCTCATTTTACAAATTTTGGTGCCGAAATATTTTAATTAATATGTTTTACTTAGAGATCTGACCATGACTCACTACAATTTGCCTCATGTTTACCCGATAATATTTTGAAGTAGTGAAAATAACACCAGTAATATTGTTTCCCAACAGTTATAAATAGATTTCTAAAATGTTAAAGCTAGTCATTGATTGGCTGATTGAAAGGTCATAAGAGGTTGACCTGCTATTGGTGACTGTCAGATCTATCCTAAACGGGAGCATGGTTTTGGAGCTAGTTTAAATTTGATTGTTTAAAAAAATCTAAATGATGATTTTTTTATCATCATCAAATTGAATACACAATTGCTTTTTGAGCTCCATATTTTTTTAGATGTATTAAAAATTTCTTATACTAGTAAATGACTTTAATTATTAGATTGCACATAGATTGCTTTAGTACACATTGATTTATTTGATTACTGATCTAATTAATTCCATCACTCATATTAGCTCTGCCCATGTTTGAGTATATGATAAAACTGAGGAACATTCTATTCATTAATAAGATATAATGTATGACATTGTCATTTCAGAGGCAGGATGCTTTTATCGTAACTTCATCTCAAACAGTCGGTCAAATGACCCAGCCCCAACAAGCACAAAATCAGCAAGTCTCTGTAAGTTACAAATCTCTCTTTAATTTGCACTCTGTATAAATTTATAGGTTATTTTCACGCTCTATATATTTTTCAGGTACAATAAGGGCACCAATTTAACATACAATTTTTCAGATTAGTACAATATGGGCACCAAATTAACATACAATTTTTCAGGTTAGTACAATAAGGGCACCAATTTAACATACAATTTTTCAGATTAGTACAATATGGGCACCAATTTAACATACAATTTTTAGCTCACCTGTCACAAAGTGACAGGGTGAGCTTTTGTGATCGCTTTTCGTCCGTCGTCCGTCCGTCGTCCGTCCGTCGTCCGTCCGTCCGTCCGTAAACTTTTGCTTTAAATGACATCTCCTCATAAACCACTGAGCCAATTTCATCCAAACTTCACAGGAATGTTCCTTTGGTGGTCACCTTTAAAAATTGTTCAAAGAATTTAATTCCATGCAGAACTCTGGTTGCCATGGCAACCAAAAGAAAAAACTTTAAATATCTTCTTTTAAAAAACCATAAGAGCTAGAGCTAAGATATTAAGCATGAAACATCTTCTAGTGAGTGTCTACCAAGTTTGTTCAAATTAAAGCCCTGGGGTCAAAATTGGCCCCGCCCCGGGGGTCATAGATTTTCCCTATATGCATATAGTAAAAACTTAAAAAATCTTCTTTTAAAGAACCCAAAGAGCTAGAGCTTAGATATTTGGCATGAAACATCTTCTAGTGAGTGTCTACCAAGTTTGTTCAAATAAAAGCCCTGGGGTCAAAATTGACCCCGCCCCAGGGGGTCATAGATTTTCCCTATATGCATATAGTAAAAACTTAAAAAAATCTTCTTTTAAAGAACCCAAAGAGCTAGAGCTAAGATATTTAGCATGAAACATTTTCTAATGAGTGTCTACCAAGTTTGTTCAAATAAAAGCCCTGGGGTCAAAATTGGCCCCGCCCCAGGGGGTCATTGATTTTCCCTATATGCATATATTAAAAACTTAAAAAATCTTCTTTTAAAGAACTCAAAGAGCTAGAGCTAAGATATTTAGCATGAAACATGTTCTAATGGGTGTCTACCAAGCATGTTCAAATAAAAGCCCTGGGGTCAAAACTGGCCCCGCCTGGGGGGGGGATGTCATTGATTTTCCTTATATGTGTACAGCAAAAACTTAAAAATCTTCTTTGAAAAAACCCAAATAGCTAGAGTTTAGATATTACGCATGAAACATCTTTAAATAAATATCTACAAAGTTTGTTAAAAATAAACGCCCGGGGTCAAAACTGGCCCTGCCCCAGGGGTGTCATTGTTTTTAACTATATGTGTATAGTAAAACTTTAAAAATCTTCTTTTAAAAAAGCCAATGAGCTAGAACTTAGATGTTTAGCATGAAACATCTTCTTATGGGTGTCTACCAAGTCTGTTCAAATAAACAAATAAAAGCCCTTGGGTAAAAATTGGCCCGGGGGTGGGGGGGGGGCCTATATACAGGTGAGCGACCTCAGGGCCATCATGGCCCTCTTGTTTAGATTAGTACAATAAGGGCACCAATTTAACATACAATTTTTCAGGTTTGTACAATAAGGGCACCAATTTAACATACAATTTTTCAGATTAGTACAATATGGGCACCAATTTAACATACAATTTTTCAGGTTTGTACAATATGGGCACCAATTTAACATACAATTTTTCAGATTAGTACAATATGGGCACCAATTTAACATACAATTTTTCAGGTTTGTACAACAAGGGCACCAATTTAACATACAATTTTTCAGATTAGTAAAATAAGGGCACCAATTTAACATGCAATTATCAGGTTTGTACAATATGGGCACCAATTTAACATACAATTTTTCAGATTAGTACAATATGGGCACCAATTTAACATACAATTTTTCAGGTTTGTACAATAAGGGCACCAATTTAACATACAATTTTTCAGGTTTGTACAATAAGGGCACCAATTTAACATACAATTTTTCAGGTTTGTACAATAAGGGCACCAATTTAACATACAATATTTCAGGTTAGTACAATAAGGGCACCAATTTAACATACAATTTTTCAGGTTAGTACAATAAGGGCACCAATTTAACATACAATTTTTCAGGTTAGTACAATAAGGGCACCAATTTAAGACAATTTTTCAGGTTAGTACAATATGGGCACCAATTTAACATACAATTTTTCAGGTTAGTACAATATAGGCACCAATTTAACATAATTTTGAAAGTGCAAGTGGAAATAGTAAAATAAAAGCAGTTAAATTTTGTATAACTAAATATAAATCTGGTTTGATTTTATGATTTTACCTAAAGGTGTGCCACTTAAAATGAGAAATTGGTAACTTCTAGATATTGCTTCTTAGTAAAGGAATGGGATTTTATTATCTTAGAAATAAAGGTTTGTGTTTAAAAATGAAAAATCTTTGAATGGATTTGTGTCGCCTCCTTTACAGGCCCTCTTATGTCCAAATTTATTTCAGCAATTTATGTTGTAAGATGCATGATTATAGTTAGTAGAAGTGTTTCTTTTTGTTAATGTTTTCATTTTTAGATGATTTTTATGTCTGTTAAAATTTTGTGAAACTTTAGAAGATGAATTAAATGGTTGTATAATAATATAAACAGTTCTAGATTTGGTGGTGTCTTTAAACCTAGAATAAGCAAATTATAAAAAGTTCTAGATTTTGTGGTTTCTTTAAACCATGTAATAAGCAAATTATAAAAAGTTCTAGATTTTGTGGTGTCTTTGAACCTAGAATAAGCAAAATATAGAAAGTTCTAGATTTTGAGGTGTCCTTAAATGTAGAAGAAGTAAAATAGAGGAAGTTGGTATAAAGTGTATGGTAAAATTTTTAAAACAAATTGGAAAATATAACCTTAAACCATAAGGGACAAGAGGGGGTGGGATCTAACCTATTTTATTTTTAGAATTACTGGAATCAGTGTTTTAAGTAAAAATAAAGGTCTAAAAATACCATATTCTTTTCTTTTATACAAAACATATACTAAAATATTAAAAAGAATTGTAAAATAGGGAATAGATAATATCATATTTTGACTTCTATTGTAAAATTGTTGTGAAGAGAAGTTTTTGTGAAATTTCAGCCTTTGAAACACAAGATATTGTTTGAATAAAAGAGATAAGAAAAATGTTAAATATCTTACTATGTTTAAACTTGCAGCAAGCGAATTATGGCACAGGTGGGTTTGGTACATTGGTTAGACCGTTTGGTATAAGCCAGGTAACATTAATTATCTCAGCTAAGCTGTCACCTTGCACATTCATCCCGAGGGTTCCGCACAAAACTGTTGTAATCTTATGAATCATTCTAAAAACCCTTATCCTGCAGCATTTGTCAAATTGACTTGACCTTCTATATGGGACAATCCATTTGTTTGTTTGAGGGGTTTCCATTGCTATATTGCTGAAATTTAGTAATGGTATCCACGCTGAAATCGAAAGTGAATAGCCTTTGCCACCGGTATAGAGCCAGGCCAGCCGGAACTCATAGGCAGTCTGGCCAGGCTTGATACTGTTGCCTGACCATCTTTAAATTTTCATTTTGATACCCTCAAAATTAATAATGGACAGTTCCATAAATGGAAGCTAGACAAGTCCATTTAAGAAATTCACAGGTGAAGGGTTAAGTCCATTGAGTTACAACAGAGTTATGTGAAACCCTGAACTTGTTCTCCACCAGGCTTTACTCACACCACCTATAAAAGACTTTGTTTGCCAGTTTTGTAAGTTGTAACATGGAGTCATGGTTTTATATTCCACGAAAGATCATTTAAAGGCACCTTATGCCTCAGAAATGCTATAATTTTTATTTCTCTAAAATATTTTATATTTGGTATCTTGTTACAGTTTCAAAAAGATACTCATTTGCCAATTAATTGAACCACCTTTTGCTCATTTTGCTTTGTTGGCAATTGGTATAATTATAGTGAATAAGTATTTTGTATGGAAGTCAAAATACTACTTTGTTTACATTTTGCTATCCTTACAACAGATAATTGTACATTTAGTGCGTTTTCGATTGCTGAACGTCTAACATGCTCTAAATCAATCATTAAAACATTATTAAACACATGTTTGACACTTCTAAAAAATTAAATAAAATATGGATTTCTGAGGCATAATGTGCCTTTAAAGAGAAATGTCTATTTGATACTTGATGACAATAATCGAGTCTCTTTAACAGCTACTGATGAAGGTGTGCTTGAACCCTGGGGGATGAAACATTTTTTTCATCATGCCAAACCTGCCATCACATCATGGCCTCTATGGTGTTTGTGTCTATGCTGCTTATAATAATGAGACGCGTCACGACAAAACCAACATAATGGGTTTGCGACCAGCATGGATCCAGACCAGCCTGCACATCCGCGCAGTCTGATCAGGATCCATGCTGTTCGCTATCAGTTTCTCTACTTGTAATAGGGTTTGTAAGCGAACAGCATGGATTCTGATCAGACTGCGCGGATGCGCTGGCTGGTCTTGATCCATGCTGGTCGCAAACTCATTATGTTGGTTTTGTCGTAATGCGGCTTATATGTTTGACATGTGTGTAATGCTATCATTGTGTAATGGTTCTGGGCGTGTATTGACATATAAAAATCTATGCTGTGTATTGATAACTCTTTAGAATTGTAGGAAAAATATAGCCAATAGCAAGGTAAAGGAAAATTGCTTTAAGTGAGTTTGGTGTGTAGGTGCGAGAAATGAAAAAAGCCAACAAATATGCAGTTTTCTTATTTTATATATTAATGTTTGGTTGGGGAAGTGTTTGGAATAGTTGTGTTAGTGCTGTGTTTATAATTTTGAACTAAAAATTAAAATGCTTACTTGGTGTTAGGTTTTAGGGGTGAAGGATGAATAAGATGGTGTATGATTATAAAGGAAAACAATGTTTGACAAACCCGTGACATCTTTGTGTTTTTGGTTGCGGTTCTAGGATAAAAAAAATGCAAAGTTCATAATAAGTCAGCTAGCATTTATTTAATATAATTGCTGGCAAAAATGCCAAAATACCTTTACATCAAGTATACTTTTTTAATGAAAAATACAATATTTTAATTGTTGTAAAACAAGAAATTGTCAAGTCACTCAAATCTTTTTATTTTTAATTTTATGTAAATCAAATTGAAAATGTGTCAAAAGTTATTTTTACCATAGTTTTTCGATTCTACAAGCTAAATTTTGAGATATTTTAATTATCTAGATGAAATTAATATTTGAATTCAGCTGTAAGGGTGAAGGTGGATACTTCTTTTTGGTGACATCAAACATCATATTTCTATATGTATTTGAATCGTTTTACCAAGTTTCTATTGAAAAATCTTCTGTAAAGTATATATTTATTTTAACTAGTGCTCCTGTTCTTATAATCATCCCCCTATCTCTTCACTAACTATTTATCATCTGTCTTAATTAACGAAATGAACCCATGATAATTGATACCTGTTTGCTTATTCACAGTTTTTTTGTTGCCTTATACTGCAACTTTTTCAATCTGCAGATATTATTTATAACGTATAATTCAATTAAACGCCTCCCCCTTGCAGTATGCTGTTTTGTCATGGACATTTACTATGATGTATATGGTATATTAATATTTATATAAATGCTAAAGATATATCGACTGTTTTATTTCTGGAATGTTTAATTATAAGCATGTGTATCTGACTAGTTCAGAATTTGATTTGATTTTTCAGTTTTATTTTGTATTTTTCATAATCACGTCTTCAAAGGGAGGTGATCCTAAAGGACATTTGATTTGTTATTTCGCTCAAGTTCTAACTGCCATGTCATATACCAATTTTAGAGACATAATTTAATTTGCATGATGCTTTATATAATCACTTGCACCAATTTTCATGCTGAATGTTTTAACAATAATATTGGTAAATACAGTATTGAAATATTATACAGGGTGTTCTTGACGAGTGGTTGAGGTCGTTGACTTCAAACCACTTGCCCCTTACCGCTGTGGGTTCGAATCCTGACGGGGACTTTAGATTAATTCAAGTGAGGAAGCTATCCAGCTAGCTTACAAAATGTCGGTGGTTCTACTCAAGTGCCCTTTCGTGCCTGAAATAATGCTAGGAAGGGCACCTGAGGTCTTCCTCCACCATTAAAACTGGAAAGTCACCATAAGACCTATACTATGTTTGTGTGAGGTAAATGAAACAAATCGAAATATTTTACTTTTTAATTTTTTTTTAAAAACTGGAGAAGTGTGATGCCTCAGAAGCATAAATCACAACAAAATTCGCTTTTACATTGATTTTTAGATTTAGAAAAAACTGTGTTTTGATAAAAGCTAAAGATTGTATAAATCGCCTCCCACCAGTCATGTCAACTAATAATTCTTGAAGATTTTTTTTGTTTACTTAACAAAATTATATTTTTTGCATTATAATCTATTTTATTATGACAGTTTTTAGTTTACAGACCTTGTGTTCGTGTTTGTTTTAAGAAACAAAGTTGTTACAGTTACAAAGTAACAACTAAAAAAAAAGGTAGTTGAGTGGGATTTTTCATAGTTGAAGTCTACCAATGGAACAGTTTGTTTACCAAGCAGATTTTTTTTGTTTACCAAAAGTATTATTTGTTTACACAGAGGTTTATTTGTTGGTATAATTACAGGCAAGTCCACAGATGTCCACCAATCAAATGAACCAGGGAGCCATACCCTCTCCCGCACAACAAAGGTAATCTTATTTTACAATATTTTCTTTCCATGTTAAAGCTGATATTCATACATAGCTAGGTTTGTGGTTCTACTAAGATACTCATGCTTTGAAGTCTCCAAAAGGGCCAAAGTTTTTCAAAGGGTCAAAGTCTCCCAAAATGACAAAGTCTCCCAAAGGGCCAATCTCTCCCAAAGAGCCAAAGTCTCTCATAGGGCCAAAGTCTTTCAAAAGGGTCAAAGTCTCCAAAAGGGCCAAAGTCTCCCAAAGGGCCAAAGTCTCCCAAAGGGCCAATATCTCCCAAAGGGCCAAAATCTTCCAAAGGGTGTTGCTCTGTAGAAGATGTATTTTTATCATTCACAGCTTTTGTTTTATTTCAGTTCCCAACAGCAACATCAGCAGGTTGGATCTCCAATGACAATGATGACATCACCAGCACCTGCCATAGTTCCGTCTCCACGTGGTGGCACAATGTCAATGGGTGCCCCATCACCAAGCACAGCACTTAATACACCAGGTATGATAACTAACTATATTACAAACAGTGATATTCTATTGATGGAGTTTTAAAAACAGACCTAGATCACATGTGTGATGCCTCCTTGAAGTTAACTTTCCTTTTATTCAGTTTTCCTTTTAATGTTTTGAATTTAAATACGGGTTCAAGTTATTGAGTTATTAAATTTTGAATTCATAGCCATATGTTGAATTTCAAACATAGTTGCTCAGTATTACAGTTGCTTGTTCAACTCCTGAATCACATTATATAAAATGTAAGATTTATAAAAATTATCGTTAACTATATTTTATATAAAATGTGAAAATATCTGGAAAAATGGGATCCCTTGGAAGCATTAAAAACAGCAAACATGAAAATCACAGTCTCTGTTTGATTGAGTCTGTACATAAGGGATAATGAAAAAGTGCAGCATCCCTACAAGCCCCCTAGCACCGGCTTGAGTGGTACTCAAGTATCAACACTTCAAAGTCCTGGACTCCTGATCCAGAAGAACCAGAAAAATATAACAACACTGAAGTGATGTACGGGGCAACTTTTTACGTTTGCCACACAGCACTTGACACCTGCTGTTTTGTTAGCTCACCTGTCACAAAGTGACAGGGTGAGCTTTTGTGATCGCTTTTCGTCAGGCGTCCGGCCGTCCTCCGTCCGTCGTCCGTCCGTAAACTTTTGCTTTAAAAGACATCTCCTCATAAACCACTGAGCCAATTTCATCCAAACTTCACAGGAATTTTCCTTTGGTGGTCAACTTTAAAAATTGTTCAAAGAATTTAATTCCATGCAGAACTCTGGTTGCCATGGCAACCGAAAGAAAAATCTTTAAATATCTTCTTTTAAACAACCCTAAGAGCTAGAGCTTAGATATTTGGCATGAAACATCTTCTAATGAATGTCTACCAAGTTTGTTCAAATAAAAGCCCTGGGGTCAAAATTGGCCCCGCCCCAGGGGGTCATTGATTTTCCCTTTATGCATATAGTAAAAACTTAAAGAATCTTCTTTTAAAGAACTGTAAGAGCTAGAGCTAAGATATTTGGCATGGAACATCTTCTAGTGAGTGTCTACCAAGTTTGTTCAAATAAAAGCCCTGGGGTCAAAATTGGCCCCGCCCCGGGGGGTCATTGATTTTCCCTATATGCATATAGTAAACACTTAAAAAATCTTCTTTTAAAGAACTGTAAGAGCTAGAGCTTAGATATTTGGCATGAAACATCTTCTAGTGAATGTCTACCAAGTTTGTTCAAATAAAAGCCCTGGGGTCAAAATTGGCCCCGCCCCAGGGGGTCATTGATTTTCCCTATATGCATAAAGTAAAAACTTAAAAAATCTTCTTTTAAAGAACCCAAAGAGCTAGAGCTTAGATATTTGGCATGAAACATCTTCTAGTAAATGTCTACCAAGTTTGTTCAAATAAAAGCCCTGGGGTCAAAATTGGCCCCGCCCTGGGGGGTAATTGATTTTCCCTATATGCATATAGTAAAAACTTAAAAAATCTTCTTTTAAAGAACCATAAGAGCTAGAGCTTAGATATTTGGCATGAAACATCTTCTAGTGAATGTCTACCAAGTTTATTCAAATAAAAGCCCTTGGGTCAAAATTGGCCCCGCCCCGGGGGTCATTGATTTTCCCTATATGCATATAGTAAAAACTTAAAAAATCTTCTTTTAAAGAATCGTAAGAGCTAGAGCTTAGATATTTGGCATGAAACATCTTCTAGTGAATGTCTACTAAGTTTGTTCAAATAAAAGCCCTGGGGTCAAAATTGGCCCCGCCCCAGGGGTCATTGATTTTCCTTATATGCATATAGTAAAAACTTATAAAATCTTTTTTTAAAGAGCCCAAAGAGCTAGAGCTAAGATATTTAGCATGAGACATGTTCTAATGGGTGTCTACCAAGTATGTTCAAATAAAAGCCCTGGGGTCAAAACTGGCCCCCCCGTCCCCCGGGGGTCATTGATTTTCCTTATATACATAGCAAAAACTTAAAAATCTTCTTTGAAAAAACCCAAATAACTAGAGTTTAAATATAAAGCATGAAACATCTTTAAGTAAATATCTACAAAGTTTGTTCAAATAAAAGCCCAGGGGTCAAAACTGGCCCTGCCCGAGGGGTGTCATTGTTTTTAACTATATGTGTATAGTAAAAACTTAAAAAAATCTTCTTTTAAAAAACCCAATGAGCTAGAGCGACCTCAGGGCCATCATGGCCCTCTTGTTGTATAAATGTCTGGAAAAAAGTGATCCCTCAGACGCATTAAAAAGAGCAAATTTACATGAAAATTGCAGACTCGGTTTGATTGAGTCTGTACACATATGAGGGATAATGACAAAGTGCAATATCCCTCATGCCTCCTAGCTTGTGCGGTACTTAATTCTTAATACTTAAACTGAACACTTTTAACATGTATAAAAAATTATCATAAACTGTATTTTATATAAAATGTAACATTTATAGAAATTGAAAGAATGACAAAGACTGTAGGATTGTATATAAGTTGTAATTTTCCATTATCAGATATTAAAGATGTTTCTAAAAATGGTCTATCTTGTTTAAGAATTATCAAGTATAGGTCAAAATAATTTGCACTTGCTAACGTCATATCCAATTTGTCTGGAAATATGAATTTTTATTTTTGTAATGTGAGTCCTTTTCTGTATTTTATGAACCCAGCTAAAAGTGCAAAGTTTTATACAAGAATTATACAATGATGTATTGTTTAAATGTTTGTAGGAAACCCTGGGTCAGTCGGCCCAGAACCGAGTCCTGCTAGTCAGGCCGCAGAGGAGCAGGCATACCTGGAGAAGTTGAAATCCCTATATAAATACATAGAGCCTCTGAGGAGAATGATCAAGAAAACAGAAGATGGTACGTATATATATCATGCATGATTTTCATCCATATCGGGAAGAAGCTTGACTGATAAGAAAGTATTTAGACTACTGGAATAATGAGACTGGAAAATTAACTGGAGCATGGTAGTTGAATACCATATTCCGGTATTAGCTGGACAAGGTGATTGAATGTTTAGATGCTAAAATCTCGCCTTTTTTACTCGCTGAATTATACTTTAAATCTCTTCACCCAGATTTATATACGATTATGTAAGAATCAGGGAAAAAAGTGATTATTTTCTGCTTGTGATCATGATTTCTGTTAAGCGTCTGTAGGTGCTCATATGTCCGCACATTCAAGCACTTTGAACTGGCTTTATTCTGTTAGTTTTATATGTGTATACAAATTTACATATACAAACTTCAAAGTCATATTGCCATGTCAGTCAGCTTATAGATCTGTAAATTTTAACTTATCTTTCTGCATTTTGATGTTGAAATCCCCAAAGACGTCAATGGACAGTTCCAGATTTTAAACTGGTGGAGTCCATTTTTATAATTTAAGTAGGAAATGGATTAATTTGGTTGTTTGCATTTTACCTTTTTGCAGGAAAGTCAGAATCATCCGACCAGAGGAAGAATGACATCAACAAACTGAAAAACCTTCATGACATTCTAACAAACCCAAGCAAAAGGTAATAGTGAACATTATAAAACACATCTTTATAGCAGAGTTGCTTTAGATAAGTTTTAAGGTTAGATCCATGTCCAGTTCTGGTAACTACATGTATGTTGCAAAATGCTGTCATTAACCTGAAATTTACTAAATGTTAAAGAAATTTCAGAATAGGCTTTGAGCTGTATAAACGTATGAAATGATGAAGTTGTGACAGTTTTTCTAAAAGATTATGGTACTTTTTAGGTAGTCTTACTGCAATGCTTTCCCGCCAAAATTCTAATATTGGCCAATATCGTAATAAATCGGTCATTCATGGAACGTTGTTATTCACAATCTTTGGTATTCAGTACTTTATAAATGTTTATAACCGGAATTTAGTACATAGCGATAAAGGATGATTGCTTGTAAATAATCTAATGCCCAACATTTTGTAAAAATAATGTTCCGGAAATAACTGATTTGCTACGATACTGGCAGCTGTTAAAATATTTTGACGGAAAAACTTTACAGTAAGACTACCTGAATGCTAATGACTTGCTCATTTATTCATGCTGAATTATGGAGAAAGCTTGAAGCTGAAATTTTTTTTTAATCAATCCCAAGTCCACTGCTAGGAGCTAACCAGTGCTGTGATCCTACATGAAGGTTATGAAAGTTGTTGGTATTTGAGGACTCAAAAATCTTGATGTTGACACTGTTACCCATTTTGATTGCATCTTTTCCAAGATATTTAAAGGACAGAAATTTGTGTAGCAGTTTTTTAACATGCTGGATCTTGAAAATGATTGGCCTTTGCCACCAGTATAGAGCCAAACCAGCTTCAGTGATATTTTTTTCAATTTTCAAAACAACCTGTGGCTTTCTGAAGGGGAAATATAGCACTATAAATCAGGAAAAGGGGAAACCCAGAAATCAAATTGCAACAATTGAAAATTGAATAAACCCATAGATTTGATCAAATTTTCAATTTCAGTTCAATTTAATTAACATGCATGGTAAATAGCAGTGGCTATCTGTAGGTATAGTTTTCTGTCTGTCAGTCAATTAAATTTATCACAGCTGCTGTTAAGTCATGGTTCTTGTGAAGAATGTGCACAGTGCATTTTAGGAGAAAATATAGCTATTTTGGGCTAGGGGAAATAGCTTTTATTTGGCTGTAAGATATAGGGAAAAAATAACTGAGACATCCTTGTACTATTTTAATACTGAAATCCTTAAATGTTTCTTTGGACTGTTCCATACTCAAAGTCTGGTTACGGGTTAACAATTGAATGGTGTAATTCAGCTTTGTCAGTCTTTATACTAATTTTAAATGTAAATTTTCTTTGCATTTCAGAGTTCCTATGGCTACATTAGCTAAGTGTGAAACAGTCTTGGATAAATTAATGGGACCAAAAATTGTAAGTTGATTAAACTTTATGTAGGTTATTGTGATAGATTTTCCTGTTAATAATTCTCTTTTCTTAACAGTAATGTTTCATATGTGTTATACATGTGCTTTTTATTTCTCCATTATCTATGTATAAAGTATAAATAATTTTTTTTTCCCAATAATTATCAATTGCAACCCTATGAGTTATGTTTTTCTTCTTCAGAGTGGACAGTCCTCGTCGGCCCCGCCTCCACCCCAAGCTCCACATGTACATATGTGTCAACCTCTGCTAGACTCAGTAGCTGCACATATCACATCACCATCTTTTAACCATGTTCTACACAAAACCTTTGGACCAGCAATGTCTGCCATATTTGGGAACCCAATAAGGTAACAAATATGGTTTACTAGGCTTTCACAGTCACTTAACTAATATAGTTTAAGGCAGATAACTCAAAAATGAAAACGGTGACCCCAATATTTTTTTTGAATAAAATGTTTCTGTTATCATATTCTAACAACATGCCAAGTTTAAAGAAATTCTATAGAACATTTTTAATTTTGCCTATATGTCTATATGAAAACTCTTTAATCAACATACCTTGAGATTTGTGGGGTTTTTTTTTGTTGCCATTGGTGACCAAGGAAGCCTTTGAACTTGCATTTACCTCTACCAGTATAGTAGCTCATTTCTTTATCATCTTATTATTGACCTTCGTACATTACCAACAATATAGTGCTGGCTGAAATGTTGGAGCAATACTGCTACAGTGGCGTAGCTGCCTATACGCCAAATACCCACGTGCGTACAATTTATTTTGGGAGGTGAAAAATTAGAAAATCATTTCAATGCGAAAAATGGCTTAAAAACTAGTGCTATCCGGCATGCGGTCAACTTACGCAATGTATGAAAAAGACCAAATTTATTGTATTTGATTATAACAGGGCCTTTCAAATAGATATACCCTGATTATAATGTACTAGACTCTATTTTTACATAGTTATATAAAATTATTCATTTGTTTTTTATGTAGATATAGGTACCTCCGTTTCGTTTTTAAAAGTGATTAATTTTTGTATTAAACTCACCTCACATGTAGCTTGAATACGAGCTCTTTCCGTAAAATATTAAGAAATAATACATTAGCTTTTGAAAAAGTTTCAATTCTTTTTAATTTTATGAATAAAATAAAATAATGCAGACATTTTGATAATATCGACATGTCATAGATATCACAAAAAACATGTAAGACAATATGTCGAAACGGAATTTCTTAAATTTTAGGTATTATAAATGTGATATCTATCAGTGACTAAAGTTTTATTTTGAGCGGAATATGGCTTGTTCTTGATATTAAAACAAATTGATTTGACTGAATTTTAATGTGATTAATATATCAAAATATGTATGCAAGTTCCGACAGTTATAGATATGAGACGTGCAAGTTCAATATGTCGCATCAAGTGGGCGTCTGAAAATCAGTCTGTTGCAAATTGTTTCAACAATGAGTTTTGGAAGGATTATATTTTTTCTTGCAAACATAATTGCAGTGAAATGACTCATTGAAAATTTGAAGAAAAAAACCAACGAAAATAGTAAAAAATGTAATTACGTTGCTAGTACGTTTACCAAATATTAACTTGTGTGATTTCTTTCCGTTAATATCTGCCAATTTTATCATGGATGGAAAATGATCCTAACCTCCCCTTTGGCTGAATACAAAATTTTGTTCACAGATATTAATTAAATAAATAAAGTATTAACATTTATTCAAATGCCGGGAATTGACACGGTGCTGGTGTCATAGGCAATGCAAAAGAGCCCTCGCAAATGTGACGGAGCCAACAGAACCATTCAATAAGTGTCGAAATTGTGGAATTATGCCGATTATTAGTCATGCATATACTAAAACAGAATTTCCAAATGAATAGTTTCTTCAGTATCCAAGTAGTAGTGTACTAGGTCGCTATACATCTATAAAGTGTGCTATTTTTAAAAACTTTTTATCACTAATTAGTTGACTTTCAAGAGCAAATTTCAATGTATTTTTAAATTGTTTACTAGATGTAGAATGTTTTTCAAAAAGAGTTTCTTTAATCTAGATTATTTTATTTGCTTTTTTGGTCATTGGGTACGTATTATTCCTACTCTTTCGTTTTGATATGAACATTAAACTGTTTAATCGCGTAGCATTGATTGTGCGAAATTTATAGTGAAGGAAAAATCCTAAACAACGAGAAAGATGTTCTACTTGGCATAACATTCTCAGATTTGTTGAAAAACGAGATTTTAAATCGGATAGTTTAAAAACCCTGTTATTACCATTTTCACCTACCTCTACAACGATAGTGTCGAGGACTCTCATTTAAGTTAGAAAGAGCCAGCGTTAAGTATCTCCTTGGGTGTAATCTTAAGTCTAATAAAATTGCCTTTTTTTAGGATTAAAACCACATTTATGTGACATTAAATGCACGTGAAATCGTATAATCGAATCATCCTCAAATGACTAAATCCGCGGAGCTTTCGGGGGCTTCGCCCCCTGAACCTCCACCAGGGCTCTGCCCTGGACCTGCAAGGGGGCCTACGCGGCCCCCTAGACCCCCTGCGTTTACATTTGTGCTTATATTTAAAATTGCCCTAGCTACACCCCTGCTGCTATATGGAAACATAACCATCTTAAGTTTCGATTACCCCATGAGGGCCATGATTGCAGCCATTGTTTATCCCTATGATTGTAAGAGGAAACTAAATGGGTTTGAATTACTGGAGTCTATGAATCTCTTAGCTGAAGCTGGTAAGGTGATCTTGACCCCTGATGTTGCTGTAAGTTTGCAGCACAGGGAGGGTAGCCAAAATCATCCTTCCTATTTCGATGCGATATGACAGAAATTGTGTTTAAGAGTGGTCAAAACCAAACAAAGTATCAATTAATTTATTGTAGACCGCCAAGTCCGCCACCGAAGAGACGGAAGGTTGAGGAGAAGAGTAAGTTACCGGATATTCTACAAGGCGAGATTGCAAGGTTAGACCGACGGTTTAAAGTCAAGCTGGATCCCATACAACATGCTGGTTCCAAAGACATTCATCTGGTCTGCAGGCTTGGTGAGTAGTCTTGATAAAAAAACATAATAATTTTTTAAACCCTGATGAAGACTCAAGTTGAAATATTGGTTTAATACAATAAATAAATTTTAAACTTATCCTTTGTTGATTGCTTCACTTCACTAATAAAATGTATTTTATAGTAGAAAATGATAATGCAATGTCTTGACTTAATGAAATGTCCGGCTGATAAATTCTTTGTTTGAGCAAAAATGTTAAGCCTATACAATGTATACAGCATGTACTTGTTCACTGTCCAGAAAATACAGGTTTGATCACTAAAATACAGAACTAAATACCATAGACATCAGTGTTTTACACTTTTAAAGAATACATGTTCATTTATAACATATCAATATATATAATTCATTACAAATGTCTTCAAAATAGTTTGATTTTAATTCAGTCAGTATCTATACTGCAGTCTATGCTTAATGATGGTCCATCTGCCTGTTAAGGCACAAAAAGTAGCTTTCACTATCAGTATTGTTTGGTTTATACAGAATTTATTTAAGTTCGATTGTGTAGGAAGCTGGACCTTATAGACACACTTTCGAATCCGTTCCTGGAACCAACCAGTACTAAACAATGACTAAACAACAACTTGCCCCTGACGGGTTTGAACCAATGCGGCTAGCCATGTTTAGATTATTAGTCTGACGCGTTAACCCCTCAGCCATGCCCTGGACATGTCACCTATCTGGCCTTTAATAGTTTAATTTTGAAGCACAACATGGTGATACGAACCTCAATGCAATAATTTTTATTCATTGCATTTTATTTTCTCTGTAAAGAACAACTACATATATATCATTTGTTGTACATGTGTTGTGGTGTTGTTTTTTGTAGATGATGAGAACCTCCCTATCGTACCACCTATACTAGTCACTGTACCGTTTGATTATCCTGAAAATAGTCCCGAATGTTCTACCAGTAGAAAAGATTACGGTAAGTTTCAGTGTATGTAAGCTTTTACAAGGACGGAAGACCCTATTTTGTCTAGGTTTGTCCACTTAGTTCAATAGGGAGAGCTTCTGATAAGAAATGCAAGACTGATTGCTTCAATCCTCAGGCCTGGTGAAATTCCTTGGTAACTAACTCTGGAATGAAGAATATTTGGGTTTTCCCAGTTAATTAGTTAGTATGAACAAACTTTTACAGTTACAGCTTCGAAAATAAGCGCAACAGTTTGACCAAACTATTGTGAGGGGTAGTACACGGTGAAGCTATAAAGGTAAAAGTTTGTTTGTACCTATGGATTAGCTGGTAAAAACCAACATTTACCGAGTTCCGGATAACATCTATTGATCTCAGACATTGAGTCTAATGATTATTTGTCCCTCACTGCTATTTCAGAAATCATTTTGTAGTCAGACAATTGCAGAGAAATCGGTAATTATTTGTTAGTTATTCAGGAAATCCAGTTACCAAATTTTCACCAGTAATATGTTAGTCAGGGTAAAAAATAGATAAACATACTGTTAGTCTTTAGCTTTTTTTTTAATCCAAAAAAAAGGCAAATGCAATAATACATCAAACAACATGGGATACAACTCTAGTTGTATTCTTTTCCCCTAATCTGATCAGAGTTACTCCTCTTTTATCATGTTTTCTCTCCTTGTATATTAACACAGTTACCTTACTTATGAATGTAGCAATATATACATGTATTGACTTTCAAACCTTTTCAAGGTCAATCTAGCCAGAAATAAATATTAGTCTCTTGTTTTGTTCGAAAAAAAACGGTACTTTTTTAAATTCCATACAAATCAGATTGAGATTTTGTTTGTGAAGCTTTTCCATCATTGTTCCCATACTTATACATGATTTTATCAGGCATTTGTTTTTTGCATCAAGAAATGTATTGCAGGAACACAGAAAACTGTAATGTACATGTATATAGTTTGGGTATAAGTAAAAGGTATTTTTTTATGTGATGTTTACATCAAGACTGTCACTCACTGGCATAGATTTTGTTTTCATATGTCTAGATTATTGGGTGGGGTAATGTCAGGTGGAATGACTCGTGATAAATAACTATGATGCTGAGAGGGAAAAAAATCATGACACATCGTTTTTCTAATAACTATTACAGAACACAGAATCTGGCAAATTAATTATGATAAATTGACCCTTTAAACTGTTAGAAAATTTACATGCCTGATAATGTATGAAATATATACAGCTGTGTACATGTAAATTACATGGCAGATGGTAACCTTTTTAATTGAATATAGGTATAAAACAATATTTCAGTTTAAAGATCAAGAGCTATTCATTTGATAGATTGATTGATGTATGTAATGTTCAGGGTAATGATAACCTACCTATATGTAGGCTGGTGGGGAAGGGAGGTCTTTGGCAAATGTAATTATTGAAATTCATATACATGTATTAATAAGCCAAGTTTAATTTGAATGCAGTTTTTAATCAATTTTTCATTTTGTGATTTTTTTATTTATTTATGATATGAATTAGAAAAAACAATTAAAGACTTAAAGTTCATATTCAATTTTATTTTAATTTTTTTTATGCAGATTTTCATGATATTTTTGTCAAATCTTGGCAGCTAATCCAACCTTTTTAGTTTTCCTGGATAACTGACCTGTTGATACCAATTACATCCGAAGTGACCGACTTCTAATACAACATGATTTCTGATTTAGTGTTGAGAGACAAATGAACATTAGGCTCAATGTCTGAAATCAGTTGTCATGGAGATATTGCGTCTCAACTGAGAATCAAACCAGCGTCCCTGGAATACTTTTTTCTACTTAAGAAAAAGTTGGACAGATTTTATTATTACTTACACATTGTCAGAGATTCTTTTAAGACAATACTTAGAGTACATCATAATTATTATTCCTGTACTTTTACCTTAACTACTGTGATAATATCTCGCACCTGTGCTACGATTATTATTTTTGTTTGACGAAAGAAAATAGATCTGTCATGAAACAAAGGTTAGGCCGTAAATGATTTACTTAGATAAATGATTCTGACTCTGTGTTTTGATGTAGAAAATGCCATGATTTATTATCACTTCACATGTCTTGAATGAATGTCTTGTTTTGAAACCTTGGTTATGTTATATACAAAAAAACACAGGCACACAAAAAAGACAATAACAAAAAAATTATAGAAAGCACTTTATATAAGAAATTTTTTTGCTAGAAATGAAGGTCAAAGTAAATCTTCTTGTTTATTTCATTCAATTTCTGTATTAACATTTTTGCGTATTTTTCTCCCAAATCAAGTCAAATTAAATCAATGACTTGGGAATTTTTTTCTTTAAAAAAAAAAGTATTTTCTATAAAAAAAGAATGTTTTTCAGCCAATTTTAAAATGATAGTAGCATCATATGGCTCACAGACTTCTGTTCTTGAGCCCACAAGCATGATTTTTTTTAATGCTAAGTATTGTCATTGTGATGGTACATACATGTATATTAAATAAGTTTACAGAAGGTTGTTTATACTTCACAAGTTATACTTTATTAAGTGAATGCATTTTACATATACTTGGTGTGATTACAGATTTTTCTATCTCCAATATTAGTGGCAATTCTAGCTCTCTGGTATAGGGTATTAGGAGGCAATATCTTTGTACAGTCTGATCAAGTTGATTATTATACTTTCAATTACATTGATTATAATGAATTCCCTTGGTCTTTACCCTGCAAAATTTCTTAAATTGACTTGTCCAGGTCCATTTGGGAACTGTCCATTTTCAATGAAAATTTAAGTTAGCTTGTGAAAAGAGCAGTGGCATAGTGGTTAAGGTGTCTGCCTCTCAACCCAGAGATCATGGGTTCAAGCCCTACTCGGGTCTTGACCATGTTTCTTCATATGACACAAGCACTGGTTGGTTCCAGGAAGTGGACTCGAAAGTGATTTATATAAGTTGCAACTTGTTTTGCAATCGAGCTTAAATAAATAAATACATGTATGTTTAAACCAACAGAGCCTGTGAGTCTGTGCAGGAGTGCAGGCTGGCCTGGCTCTACCCTGGTGACAAAGGATAAGCCCTTTATGTCCCGGCAGTTTAAAATTGATATTTTACATAAAATCAAATGGTAAAAGGTTTATAAAAAGTCTAAATATACAAATTATGTTTTTTCTATGTCTGTATTTTGTTATTAATTGTTCTATTTTAGAGTCAACACCATTCCTTCGTGCCATACAGAAGTCGATGGTTACACATCTTCTAGATCTGCCGAGTAAATTCACATTTACATCACTACTTGATATGTGGGTACGTACCATTTATTAGTACAAAGTCACATTACTGTACTTGATGTGTTTTTAGCTCGACTTTTCTATGAAAAGGGGAGCTATCCTACTCGCCCCGGCGTCGGCGTCGGCGTCACACCTTGGTTAAGTTTTTCGTACCACCCCACTTTATTTCAGAAGTATTACAAGTATGGCTTTGAAACTTACCATACTTGTTCACCATCATAACCTCCATCTACAGACAAGAGTACATAACTCTGTCAAGGTTTTTGACAGAATTATGGCCCTTTTTTGACTTAGAAAGTGTATTGAGCTTGGTTAAGTTTTTTGTACCACCTCACTTTATTTCAAAACCATTGGAGGTATTGCTTTGAAACTGACCATACTTGTTTACCATCACGACCTTCATCAACAGACAAGAGGACATAACTCTGTCAAGGTTTTTGACAGAATTATGCCCCTTTTTGACTTAGAAAATACATTGAATATGGGTAAAATCCACTTATTGCCTTAACCCTTTGAGATATTGCTTTGAAACTTTTAATGCTATTTCACATCATTACCCCCATCTGTACGCAAGAGAAGGTAACTCTGTCAATGATTTGTTTTAAAAATTAAGGCCTTTTATCGACTTAGAATCTTGGTTAAGTTTTTAGTACCAGTCCACTTTTTGACTGAACTGTTTGAGATATTAATTTGAAAGTTGGAATACTTGTTTACAATCATGATTCCCAAACATGTCCAGGAGAAGGTAATTCTGTCAAAGATTTTATTTGAATTATGGCCATTGTTCACTTTAAAAATACAGAGATTCTTGTATTGCCTTTTACTGCAAAAACTTTTTTTATTGGCAAGCAATAAAAAAGTCGAGCGCGCTGTCTTACGGACAGCTCTTGTTTTTCACCTTGTCATCTTTGTGTACAGTATTCTTCACATATTTGGGTGTTTAAGTTGAAATAAGAAAGCTGTTACTTTTTAGCTAACCTGTCACAAAGTGACAGGGTGAGCTTTTGTGATCGCTTTTCGTCCGGCGTCCGTCCGTCGTCCGTCCGTAAACTTTTACTTTAAATGACATCTCCTCATAAACCACTGAGCCAATTTCATCCAAACTTCACAGGAATGTTCCTTTGGTGGTCACCTTTAAAAATTGTTCAAAGAATTTAATTCCATGCAGAACTCTGGTTGCCATGGCAACCGAAAGAAAAAACTTTAAATATCTTCTTTTAAAAAACCATAAGAGCTAGAGCTTAGATATTTGGCATGAAACATCTTCTAGTGAGTGTCTACCAAGTTTGTTCAAATAAAAGCCCTGGGGTCAAAATTGGCCCCGCCCCGGGGGGTCATTGATTTTCCCTATATGCATATGGTAAAAACTTAAAAAAATTTGTTTTAAAGAACCCAAAGAGCTAGAGCTAAGATATTTAGCATGAAACATGTTCTAATGGGTTTCTACTAAGTTTGTTCAAATAAAAGCCCTGGGGTCAAAATTGGCCCCGCCCCGGGGGGTCATTGATTTTCCCTATATGCATATAGTAAAAACTTAAAAAATCTTCTTTTAAAGAACCCTAAGAGCTATGGCTAAGATATTTAGCATCAAACATGTTCTAATAGGTGTCTACCAAGTTTGTTCAAATAAAAGCCCTAGGGTCAAAATTGGCTCCGCCCCAGGGGGTCATTGATTTTCCCTATATGCATATAGTAAAAACTTAAAAAATCTTCTTTTAAAGAACCCAAAGAGCTATTGCTAAGATATTTAGCATGAAACATGTTCTAATGGGCGTCTACCAAGTTTGTTCAAATAAAAGCCCTGGGGTCAAAATTGGCCCCGTCCCGGGGGGGGGTCATTGATTTTCCCTATATGCATATAGTAAAAACTTAAAAAAATTTCTTTTAAAGAACCCAAAGAGCTAGAGCTAAGATATTTAGCATGAAACATGTTCTAATGGGTGTTTACCAAGTTTGTTCAAATAAAAGCCCTGGGGTCAAAATTGGCCCCGCCCCGGGGGGTCATTGATTTTCCCTATATGCATATAGTTAAAACTTAAAAAATCTTCTTTTAAAGAACTCAAAGAGCTATGGCTAAGATATTGAGCATCAAACATTCTCTAATGGGTGTCTACCAAGTTTGTTCAAATAAAAGCCCTGGGGTCAAAATTGGCCCCGCCCCGGGGGGTCATTGATTTTCCCTATATGCATATAGTAAAAAAAAAAAAATCTTCTTTTAAAGAACTCAAAGAGCTATGGCTAAGATATTTAGCATCAAACATGTTCTAATAGGTGTCTACCAAGTTTGTTCAAATAAAAGCCCTGGGGTCAAAATTGGCCCCGCCCCAGGGGGTCATTGATCCCTATATGCATATAGTAAAAACTTAAAAAATCTTCTTTTAAAGAACCCAAAGAGCTAGAGCTAAGATATTTAGCATGAAACATGTTCTAATAAGTGTCTACCAAGTTTGTTCAAATAAAAGCCCTGGGGTCAAAATTGGCCCCGCCCCGGGGGGTCATTGATTTTCCCTATATGCATATAGTAAAAACTTAAAAATCTTCTTTTAAAGAACTCATAGAGCTATGGCTAAGATATTTAGCATCAAACATGTTCTAATAGGTGTCTACCAAGTTTGTTCAAATAAAAGCCCTGGGTACAAAATTGGCACCGCCCCGGGGGTCATTGATTTTCCTAATATGTGTATAGCAAAAACTTAAAAAATCTTCTTTGAAAAAACCCAAATAGCTAGAGTTAAGATATTAAGCATGAAACATATTTTAGTGAGTGTCTACAAAGTTTGTTCAAATAAAAGACCTGGGGTCAAAATTGGCCCTGCCCCGGGGTCATTGATTTTCTTTATATGTGTATAGCAAAAACTTAAAAAATCTTCTTTGAAAAAACCCAAATAGCTAGAGTTTAGATATTAAGCATGAAACTTTTCTAGTAAGTGTCTACAAAGTTTGTTCAAATAAAAGCCCTGGGGTCAAAACTGGCCCCGCCCCAGGGGTGTCATTGTTTTTAACTATATGTGTGTAGTAAAAACTTTAAAAAAATCTTCTTTTAAAAAGCCCAATGAGCTAGAGCTTAGATGTTTAGCATGAAACATTTTCTTATGGGTGTCTACCAAGTTTGTGCAATAAAAGCCCTGGGGTCAAAATTGGCCCCGCCCCAGGGGGTCATTGATTTTCATTTGATTGTCATGGGGGGATGGGGGGCCTATATACAGGTGAGCGACCTCAGGGCCATCATGGTCCTCTTGTTTATTTACTTCCATATCTAGATAAAATATTCAACACTGTTACTTTGGAGAATTATGCTTATGATCCAGTTGAAAATAAAAACCATTTGCATTAATGCACATTCAACAGTATCTATGGAAATGTAGGGTTACATTGAGTGGGGCAACTTACTTGTATGTGTGGGCATTATAAATTAACTTGAGCTAGCCCTGAAAGCTTATATAAGATGTGTTGAAATGAGTTTATCAGCCTTTCAAATAGATTTGTCAGTCCTTCATTAAAAAAAAAATTACTTGCTATGACATAACATTATTCGTATTTTTTTTTTGATAAAAGATAAGAAATTTATTTATTAGTAACATGGGTAAAATCATTGATATGATACATGTGAATTAAGATTAACAGCATTTACACTCTGCCCAAGTAAGTCAGCTAATATTGACAAATATCAAAGTATTATATATTTCATAGTGATCATAAATAAGTGTGTGACAAATATCTTATATTATTACTGCACAAATGAAATGAGTTATTGTAAATGTAAAGTCTATAATTATCATGTGCCACACCCGTAATTATCATGTATACATGTAGATTGTAGTTTTTATTCAACAGGTGTGCAGTATATGCAAATTAAAAAAAAATTGTTGGAATTTTATATAAATTATGTATATAAAACATGTATATGTTTCCATTTCAGGAAATGAGTGTGAGAAAGGCGTGTGCACCAACCTGAAACTAAATAAATTGTTTATCTCCCTTTATAACATAGATCTGGAATAAAACAACAACAAACAAATCATGTGGGAGGCAACGTTTTTCCTTGAGCCAATGTTTTAGGATTAAAACTGTGTGATCTGGTGCTTAGCTTTAAAGTTTCACATTTTACACATATGCATATAGTGGATAAAAAAATGTTCTGCCATCAAATGATGATTTTACATATAAAAACCAAACCAACAAAAAACAGCATATTAAAAAAACTACATAATTTGTTGATCATATTTAATAGATGGTTATCTATGAAAAAAGAAAAATAACTTTTTAGTGAAACTTGTAAATCAATCTATATCTTATCTATATCATATTTTGCCATTATGATTCAGTGTGAAAATGTTACTGGCAAAGAAGTGTTTATTATCCCCCGCCGTAAAGGCGGCGGGGGATATAGTAATAGTCTCCGTCCGTCCATCCTTCCGTCGACATTTTTGTCCGGGCATATCTCTAAATGTATTTGAGTTATCAACTTGAAACTTCATAGGTGGATAGACCTCATTGAGGAGGAATGCAGTGCACAAGAATGATAACTCTACCCTGCATAATTTTTGAGTTATTGCCCTTTGTTATTTTTCAAAATTGATTTTTGTCCAGAGCATAACTCAAAAAGCCTATGAGATATCATTATGAAACTTCATAGGTGCATAGATCTCACTCAGGAGGTGTGCAGTGCACAAGAATGATAACTCTACCTTTCATAATTTTTGAGTTATTGCCCTTTGTTATTTTTCATACTTAATTTTTCACCTGAGTGGAGCATAACTCAAAAAGTGTTTGAGATATCAACATGAAATGTCTTAGGTGGATAGATCTTATTGAGGAGGAATGCTGTGCGCAAGAATGATAACTCTAACCTATACAATTTTTGAGTTATTGCCCTTTGTTCTTTTTCATGCTATTTTGTCCTGAGCTTATCTCAAAAAGTATTTGAGGTATCAACTTGAAACTTCATAGCTGGATGGATCTCATTGAGGAGGAGTGCAGTGCACAAGAATGATAACTCTACCCTGCATAATTTTTTAGTTATTGCCCTTTGTTATTTTTCAAAACTAATTTTTGTCCAGAGCATAACTCAAAAAGCCTTTGAGATATCAACATGAAACTTCATAGGTGCATAGATCTCACTCAGGAGGTGTGCAGTGCAAAAGAATGATAACTGTTCCTTTCATAATTTTTGAGTTATTGCCCTTTGTTATTTTTCATACCTAATTTTTCACCCGAGTGGAGCATAACTCAAAAGTGTTTGAGATGTCAACATGAAATGTCATAGGTGGATTGATATTATTGAGGAGGAATGCTGTGCACAAGAATGATAACTCTACACTATACAACTTTTGAGTTATTCCTCTTTGTTCTTTTTCATAATATTTTGTCCGGAGCTAATCTCAAAAAGTATTTGAGGTATCAACTTGAAACTTCATAGCTGGATGGATCTCATTGAGGAGGAGTGCAGTGCACAAGAACGATAACTCTACCCTGCATAATTGTTGAGTTATTGCCCTTTGTTATTTTTCAAAATTAATTTTTGTCCAGAGCATAACTCAAAAGGCCTTTGAGATATCATTATGAAACTTCATAGGTGCATAGATCTAACTCAGGAGGTTTGCAGTGCACAAGAATGATAACTCTACCTTTTATAATTTTTGAGTTATTGCCCTTTGTTATTTTTCATACTTAATTTTTCAATTCATTTTTTTTCTTAAAAGTATTTGAGGTATCAACTTGAAACTTCATAGGTGGATAGATTTTACTGAGGAGGGATGCAGCACACAAGAATGATAACCTACCCTGCATTATTTTTCAGTAATTGCCTTTGTTATTTTCAGCCATCAGTATTCACATAGGTTTCAAATCTGTAATCACTATAGCCATCAGTTTTCATTACCAAAAGACCTTAAAATGGAGTTATTGTGCTCTACTACATTTACATTCTTCCAATGAGCAAACACATTCGGCGGGGGATGGCCATGTTGACATGGCTCTTGTTGAATATTTATTAATGTCATATTTCATAGTGAAATATATATCATATCAACTCATTTCAAACAAATAGTGTTATTTATTTGTACATTTTTTTGTCAACTGGTTTGAAGTTGTGGTGCATGATATCAAAATGTGTGAGGAGTTATTGATGTTTACTGTACATAATTATGTGGAATAAATGAAATGTGGATAAATTATGTCTTGCTTTTTAATCCCTATCAGATTTTTGCTGATGTTTACTTTTTAGGGGAAAAAAACAAACGATAAAGCAGCATACCTCCAGATTCTTGCTAATTTTCTTGATCGTAAAATTTGAAAGTAAAATATTGTGAACTTAATTAGAAAGTAATTAACACATTGCAAAAGGAACTTAAAATCCACGTATGGTACCAAAAAGTTGACAAAATGGCCCTCACTGTGTTAGTCATGCAGTAGAAATATGGTGATAAATACTTATAAATTGGTTATTATTGGCATATAACATGTAAATTATTACTTGATTTTTTTCAATTAGTATTTTTTTTCTCAAAAATGATTTTCTAGAAGTGTTTTGGCTCATCTGGAGGCATGCAGCTTTAAAAATTGAGAGAGAAAAAAATGTGCAAATTCTGAATTTCATGATGCAATTGATTTGCCTATTGCCCTCAAATGACGCTCTTAGATGAGTGATGTGGTTTGCTGCCTCTGAACAGAAACAGATTTAGGGTGTGAGTCCTGGGCCTATGACCATGCCTTCTTATACCACGCCAATGCTGACTGAACATAAAGTGAGTTAGCAGTGTGATCCAGTGGTAGGACATGTTCTTTGGGAAAGAGAAGTCCAAGGTTCAAGTTATTTTGAGGACTCTGCTATGCCCTTGAGAAAGAAATATTTTTCTCTCAAATAGAATTAGTGTACATGGGTAACTTACAGGACAGTGTTATTCAGATGCATGATAATGTAGTGGCCTTAAATGGAGTGAAAACTCACCAGGTAGATCGGTTAATATATTCTAGCATGAGTAAAGCTCTAAAGCCCATGAACGAAAATTACACAATGAGATTTAATAACTTATGGTGTGTTTTGCTAAAGCTTTCAAGAAGTTACAGAAGAAACTGCTCGAGACGGTTGGTAACATGGTATCATCCCATTTTCTTATACGAGTTTTGGGTTTCATAAACCCAGTTTTTAGTTTTATTTTGCAATTGTGCCATTGATGAAGATTATTTTGATAGCTGATAAAGGCTTTGGTGATATAAAAAAAGTCTCCATTGGGTTATCTTGAAATGGAAATATTTTTGGCACTTGTGCACCGTTTGATGCAGGTGTGAACTAATAACTTGTGAATAAAATTTAGATAATTCCCTCAGCTCCGTTTTCCTATTGAGCAAAGGCCAGAAACAATGCAACACTCATATTGGCTAAAAAATTTTTAAATATTAATTTGATATATTTTTGATTTCTGAATTTTTTTCCATTTTTAAGTGGTTT